GATCGCCATGAAACAGCCTATTGCTTTCCATGCAGGTAAAGCCATTTATGTTTCGCGATCACACGTCCAAGTGCTCCATCATGACCCTCGACGGCTCATTGTCAGAATTGCTTGTCCTCTTTTTGACTGTTTCGTGCTTGTTCTTCATGCACCACAAAGCGGTCGATCCAATCAGGAAAGAACCAAATGGTGGCAGGATACCACTAGCCTTGCAAATGATTTGTGCCGTGAATTTCCAATTTTTGTGTTGATGGATGCCAATGCCAAGACTGGGCCGCCTTCTGCCCCAGTAGTCTTTGAACATGGCGATGCAAGCTCTTGTAGCACTGCTCTTCTGCTTTCATTCATGGAAGACTTGAAGCTTTGCCTCCCTTGCACTTGCGATGTACATAGCGGAGAACATCATACTTGGACATCACCTGGTGGTTCCTCAGCACATAGAATTGATTTCGTTGCGATCCCTCAGATGTTTTTGCCCCGTTGCACATATTCTCAGGTCCTCCACTCCTGTGATGGAGGCAATGCACATGAGGATCATGCTGCTGCCGCGATCCAACTATCCTGGTCGGAAGAACGTAAGTGCATCAAAGGCCTGCGTACACACCTGCGACATGATCGAGCCAAGATTGCTTCAAATTGTTCGCAGATTGCTGCACAAAACTTGTCTTCACACGCATGGACCACGGACATTGAAACTCAGGTACAAGGAATCAATGATGCCCTTGAAAAAGCATTACAGAAAGCATGTCCACTCGAGACAGCCAAACCCAAAAAATGGTTTATTTCTGATGCTACATGGAACTTGCGCTCAGAGAAGTTGAAACTGAGGAAACGATTGAGACAGTCGCGTCGACAGTCTGCATATGATCTCTGTGCTCTGATGTTTCGAAAATGGGCAGATCGAATTTCCATGACTGAGATTCTTGAAGCTGAAGATCACCGCACCACAGTTGTGTGCTGTGAGTTGCGTCTGGCCTGCCAATTTTGGTCGTGCACACAACGGCTCAAACGGCATCTTTGCACTGATCGTAATCGGAAATTACAGCAAACTCTGCATGCAACTGGGCCTCAGGCATCAGCTGGAACCTTACTTCATGCTCTGAAGCCATTTCTGGGAACCACAAACCCGAAAAAGATCAAAAGAGCTTGTTTGCCAATTTTTTTTCATGAGAATGGGCAAATCTGCCGAACTCCTGAAGATGCACAAAACCGATGGATTCAGTATTTTGCTGACATGGAGGGAGGCCAGCGTCTTGATCACCAGAGCTATAGAGCACACTGGCTGGAAGGCCTACGACAATTGAGGGATGATGCCACCATTGATTTGTCAGCTCAAGAATTGCCATCTCTTACTGAACTTGAGGTTGCGTTCCGTAGGGTTCAACCAGGGAAAGCAGTTGGACTTGACCATGTTCCACCTGAACTTTGTCATCATTGTCCTGTTTTGCTTGCCCGTGCTTGTTAATCATGTTGAAGGCTGCACTATATGGGCAAGAAGCAAGCGAACACAAAGGTGGCAAACTCGCAATTGCATGGAAACATCGAGGGGATGTTCGAGACTGCCACACCCATCGTTCCCTGTTAGTGTCAAGTCATTTGGGCAAGACAATTCACCGTGCGTTGCGTCAGAAGTACAACTGCTTGTACAATGCGTACATGCAGCGACAACAGTTAGGTGGGCGGCCCTACATGCCAGTCGGAGTGCCATTGCACATCACCCGAGCTTTCATGAGATGGAACCGCAGCCGAAATCAACCAGTTGCTCTCGTCTTCCTTGATTTAACTGAAGCTTTCTACCGCACTTTGCGTCCCCTGGCGGTCGGTGGGAACATGTCAGAACAGTGCATTGGTCTCATGTGCCAGAGATTGGGACTTGACACAGATGCTTTGCACGAACTACATGAGTTACTTCAGCAACAGCCTGCTGTAGCCAATGCACAGGCCCCTGCACACGTGCAACGACTGCTACAGGCACTACACAGGGATACATGGTTTCAGATTGGACAACAAAAGGATCTCATTCGCACGGAGATCGGGTCGCGTCCAGGAGACAGTTTTGCGGACGTGGTGTTTGGCTATTTGTGGGCCAAAATACTCGGCCAACTAGAGACGCAACTTGTTCAGCATGGAATCCTGGAGTTCATTCCTGACATCCAGTTGCCAAATCCATTTGCACATCAAGTCAATGAGCAGGGCCCTGGGATTCCCCTACTCGGGCCAACGTGGATGGATGATTTGAATGTTCTCATTACTGCCAGCACCAATTTTGCGCTTGTACAGAAGACGCAGCTTGCCACCAGTTTGCTTTTGGATGTGTGCGCACAGCATCACATGACACCCAATCTCCAAAAGGGTAAAACAGAGGTTATGTTTCGTTTCTGTGGTGCACATTCGCGTGAGTTTCGCCGAAAATTCTACAGTGAAACACCTTGCCTCCCTGTTGTCTGTGAGCGCACAACTGCTCGCATTTCTGTTGTTAGCAGATATGTCCATCTGGGCGGTGTTGTACACCACAGGGATGTCAACAAACCTGAAATTCGCAGACGCCTTGCGATTGCGCATCAAGCTCTGCAGCAGCATCGCCGCATTCTTTACAGAAACTCTCACATTGCATGGCAGACAAGATGTGACATGTTTCAGACGCTTGTACTCAGTAAAATGATGTACGGATTGGAAAGTTGGACATTTGCCACACAGGATAGCAGAACGCAGATACACAATGGCATCATGAAGCTGTATCGGAAATTCCTGGGATGTTCACACTGTGCACATTTGACTGACATGGAAGTACTAGTCCGAACGGGACTTCCAGATCCAACAGAATTGCTGCGCAGAGCTCGCCTTAGATATTTTGGTACATTGCACAATTGCAAAGAAAATGCGCATTGGGGTGTGCTCCAAGAAGATCAGGAATGGCTAGCGCTGCTGAAAGACGATTTGCATTGGATGTGGATGCAGCTGACGGCGTCGGTCTCTCTGGCTGATCCGAAGGAGCATTTTCCAGCCTGGCAAGACTTGATACTGTATCACGGTGGCTATTGGAAAAAAATAATTCGCAAGGCTGTGACCCACGCATGCCTTCAGCGCAAAAATGAGTACCATGCCACAGAATTGCATAGAAGTATCGGTCAACTCCTGCTGGAAGAAGAAGTTGTCACCGCACTTCCAAGTCATACCACTAAAGCCTCTTCCCTTGAGGCTGCAGTAGAGTATGGGTGCATGCAGTGCCACAGAAAGTTTGCGTCGTATGCAGGTGAAGCGGTACACATGTGCCGTACTCACAAAACAATTGCACATGAGCGTTTCCTGTTTGATTCCACACAATGTCCAGGTTGTCTTAAGGAATTTCATACCCATTCCGGTGTTCTTGCTCATTTACGTGTTGCAATCAGATGCAAAGAAGTCTTGCAGGGAAGACGATTTGCATGTGCCCCGGCTCCAGGAGTTGGTTCCATCACAGATCGTGCACTTCATGACAAGATTGATGGAACTGTGCCATGTATCCAAGCTCAAGGGCCACTATTGCCTGATTTGCATAGGAGACAGCGTGATGAGTACAACATCAATTTCCTTGAGGAGCTATACATGTTTCTTTTGGACTTGCAGGGGGATGCTCCATTGTTGCCCGCAGTCAGGAATCTCATTTTGAACTACCCCATCAGTTGGACCCAATGTCACAGAACTCTTAAACACATGTTGGCTCAGTTCAGTCCGGAAGATCATGTGTTGTTTGCTTTTCCATTTCATGACATTGAAGCTTGTATTGAACATTGTGCGGACTCGAGATCTTGGTCGTTTCTGCACGATCAACAACAGGCACCTACTAACCATTCACCGGCCAACATTTGCGAATGGGAAGCATGGTATGTCGATCTTGCAAACAACCTGCCTTCGGACTGGAATGAACTGAAACCATTGCCACTGTCACTCACACGGTACAAGATACTGCTGCATGCCTTTGCAGGAAGGAGAAGACAGGGAGACATCGAATGGTTTTTAACTGAGGCAGCAAAAAATCTTGATGGATTTGTTCTCATGACGGTTTCTATTGACATTGTCATTGACAGCAAATTTGGGGATATTTCCAATGCAGAAACCAGAGCGTTTTGGTTGTCTCACATTCGTGCTGGCTTCATTGCTGGATTCATCGCAGGTCCCCCATGTAACACATGGAGTCGGGCTCGTGCGATACAACTTCCAGATGCTCATGGACCACGCGTTGTGCGTACTCCGAGTGCGCCATGGGGACTGGAATCATTACGAATTGGAGAACTTCATCAAGTTACCATTGGGACCATTCTTCTTGGCTTTGCCTTTGAGTGCATGGTTGCTATGGCGCTCCACTGTGGCTCTGGTTTGCTGGAGCATCCACGGGACAGTGGTGATCCTGATGCTGTGAGTATCTGGCGCTTGCCGATCCTTCAGGTTTTGTTGAATCTGCCGGGCATGCGTTTGATTCACGTTGCACAGGGATTATACGGAGCGCCATCTCCGAAACCTACTTCTCTGCTGGTGCTGACCTTGCCGACTTTGGAAAAGGAACTCCATGCTGGGAGGCTTACCTGTAACTTGCCGACAAGTGTGTCTATCGGCCGTGATGCTGAAGGACATTTTCATACTGCTCCATTGAAAGAATATCCTCCGGGATTCTGTCGCTCAATCGCTAAAGCATTTCATCATGATTTTTGTACACCAACATCCCTCAGTACGGAGTACGAGGACGTGCCTTCTGCGCTTTTGTCCCAGTGCCAGGCGACGCATGGACGCGCAGTTGGTAACTTTATTGGGCCGGATTAGCCCACAGAATTCAATGGACTCTGAGACTCTGCCGCAGCGCCGTGCGTTTTTGAGTGCAGGAGTTAAAAAAATATATATAACATAATATAAAATAAAATAATATATACATATAGTTTAGGGTATGCACTACTTGTAACAATGAACCTTTCAATGTGGATGCACTTTGATCAAAGTCACCGGGATGCTTGGTGCTTGGTGCACAGGAGCTGGTTAGCTGAGCACTGTCGAACACCAGGCTGGCGATGTGGGAGACGAGAGGAGAGCAACGAACAACGATAGCCAGTCCCAATGCTCTAAGATGCCCCAACCACAAGCTTCTTCAAGAAAGACGAAGAATCCGACGAAGAGGATGAAGACGAATGAAACAACAAACATCAACACACATCGACAAGAAACAGAACAAACATGAAAAACACGCGGTTCAACACACATGAGATAATTCCAAGCCACATGGTTCATGCCTTCCAGGCTCCTCCACATCCTCTAGTGTCGGTGCTTTGGAGGACACATGGAAGGCGAGATGAGTGGTTACGAGTGGTTGGGTGGTTTTGTTTGTTGAGATCCCTGGGATATCTTGGGATAGGATGATCATCATTTTTTTTGACGGATCCCATATTTTTGTTGGCAGATGATGTATGGATTATGATGGAGAAATCGGGAGGGTCCAACATAATGCATCCTATGCTGCAGGCCCGCTACATCTTCGCTCTCAAAGACCGACAGCGATGCCGAATTTTGCCAGAGGACGGCTTGATGTTGGAGCCGTGACGCTGGTTGAAGTTTTGAAGTTTCTGATGTAGCCTCTGGTTATGACTAACATAGCCATGGTATAGATGGCCCATAGAAATAGATGGTTTACCTATGAAAAATTGTGATTTTTATAGTTCTGTTAGTTTGCCAGAGGGTAACTGGAAAAACATGAAGATCATGACCGTTTCTGACGCTCAGCCAGACACGTTGATAGAGGAAATTTTACATTAGCTCAGGCAGATCCTCCCAGGAGCTTTGTTGGGATTCAGCCCGTGATGAAGGGGGTAGACCACTACCTCGACGCTGGCATTTGAAGATGCATTTGGGGCGTATCTCGGTGGATCGTTGCTGATGTTGAATCCCATGCCATTTTGGGAGATATAGCTGGTGTCATGACACATTTTCCCACACCATCTGCAGAGCTTAGCCGCTTAGCCCCATCAATCCACATCAGTGGCATCTTCAGGATCTACAGGATCTACAGATGAGAGCAGCGAAACTTTGAATTTCAGCCAGAATTTCTGGCTGCCAATGGTTGCCATCATTTTCTAATATTGGGGGAACAACAGTTTAACATCATGGATATAGAATGATATATATATACATATTTGCATATATGATCATATCTGTATATATATATATACGGATATATTTGGATATATATATATATATATGGATATATATCTATATGCATATATATATATATATACACATATATATATATACATATTTTATATTATATTATATTATATTACATTATATACACAGTATGTATGGACATCATGGGATCCATGAAACCCTCACATCATCAAAGAACCATCGAAATCGACGGCTGGTTGACCTCAGGTTGGGTGGACAAGGAGGTGATTTTTAGCCCTGGAGGAGGCAGCAGTCCTGGGATTCCTGGGCTCTTCTGTGACATGTCATGTGTGTTCCCCATGACACAAACTCTCCTGGTGGTTTTTGATGGTTTTTGCGACCCTCTCCTGGTAGTTAACATGCATTTTTTAGCATGTTTTGAAACATGTGTTGTTTTTTTGTCCATAGTTGTTCCTCGAATTTTTGAATAATGGGGAAAACCTCAGGAACCCCATGACATTTGAGCTGCCATGATATGTGTCACTGTTGGGGTCCGTGTGACTCGAAACTTTGGCCCAACCTATGCAGGTCTTTTAAGGTGGACATGCGTCTTTTTCAGGTGACAAATGGTGAGCAGATGCCGCCAGATATAACCCAGAGTCTTGAAGTCCCATATCATCCTGCCTTTTTGATGTTTATCTTGGATATCAGTCCGAATATATGATACATTTTATGATTTTATATACTGTACATGTACATGCAGTGTGCATATATATTATATATTATTTATAATATATATATATATTTATTTACAAATGTACAATATACATATATATACACATGCACATACCATAATTTTGCAGTGTGTTAGCCCGGTTTACCCATCTTATCCCAGTATCGCTTTTGGTGTTGTCGAACTTCCGCAGGTTCGTTGTCGGACTTTGACTTCCGGGTGTTGAACTTCCGGGTCTTCCAAGAGATCCCATGGCGGCCACATCCAGGCGGTGGGTGGTGAAGAAACATAGGGAAAAACCGGTGATTTTCGATGGTTTTCTATGGGAAAAAAGCCTTGTTCGTTGCTGTTGCCAAATGTGGTGTGAACATGTTTTACTCATGTTAAGGTCATTTACGAACATGTTGAAGCAATTACTTGCTCTTGCATGGCTTTGAATCTAAACGCCGGAAGATTGGGAGTTTCAACTGCTATCCTGGGCCAAAAATAATGTCAACTCAATCAAGTCGTGGGTGACGGCCCCTACGGGTAATCCAGGTGAAGGTCCTAATGAAGATCGCATCTTCAGTGGCAGCCTTAGCCAATCTTCAGCAACCTTCATCTTAATGGGCAATGGTAGAGCTTTCTGGATGCTTCTTGCCAGAATGTCCAAGAGCATTTTCCTTTGGCAGTTTACCAACGTACGATACATACTGACATACATACATACATACATACATACATACATACATACATACATACATACATACATACATACATACATACATACATACATACATACATACATACATACATACATTTGACATACATACATACATACATACATACATACATACATTTGTATATTGTATATTGTATATTGTATATTGTATTGTATATATATATATATATTCTTGAAACAAAGCATGATCGCGGATGAAATCTTAAGGCGATGGACCGGAGGACGAGGAGCACTCGATTTTTTTCCCAGTGGGGCGTGCAACCCAATGCCATAAACATCCATAAACCTACGTACCATTTGGGGATGGTTTATCCATAAATATATATATATATCCCATAGGATCCATGTATGGTATATATGCTAACATTGGGGGTATATTGATGGTAAATGTTACCATATATAGCATACATGGATCCTATGGGTATATAAATGGTGATTTTGTTGATGGTTTACTGTTGGGTTTACCGCACTACTGAAGATTGACTTCTCAATTATGGATCCCAAATGAACTGATCTAATAAATTCCACCACATTTTCCCGGGGGAAAGGGGTTAGGTTTCAGACTCCGTTGAGGTCTGGACCATCCACTGAAACCGGGATTTTGGTCAACATGTGCCAACCCTGGATGAAATTAGCCACTCAAAGAAATGGTGCCCTGCAGTTGGCCGGATCTGCGTGTGTATGTACACGCACACATACACATACACTACAATCATGTCTATATTTGAATATAATATCGGATATCGTTAGACAATATACTAGATATACTTGTAGACCTACACATCAAAAAGGTCAATATTATACCTAGGTACATATTTTACATTATTGTTAAATATGTAAATAATATACATATATATATATTATTTTATATGCATATATATATAAGTATACCGTACACCATGTACACCCAGAATGCCCATGATCGTCGCAGCCACATATATCGAGGACGACGAGTCCCGGGCGGAGTCCGACGGCGAGGCGTCGCGGCGCTCCGTGGACAGCGACAACGTGGAGGGCGACGGCCTGGGCACGTCGCAGGCGTCGCAGGCGTCGCAGGCGTCGCAGGCGTCGCAGGCGTCGCAGGCGTCGGCGCACGAAGAGCACGAAGAGCACGAAGAGCATGACATGGACGAGCTGCGACTTGGAGAAAAGCTGGGAAAATGGTGGGAAATCCATGGAAATCCTGAATTTTGTTGGGAAAATGGGTGTCGAATTTTCGAAATCCAACCAGATAAGAAACAGGGAGCACAAACATGAACTGCATGAAAATGGGCTGGTGATGTTGGGGATCAAAAACATGGAGTATCAATATGTGTCAATGCTATTCAATGCTCATGCATTCAATTTGGTGGTTGGGTTTCATGATGTTTCATTGTGGGTTGGAAATGCTTCAACTAGTTGATGTTAAAGACCCCTACTTGAGATGATGATTCTCAGTTGATGAATGTCTTGTGGAGTGGGTTGAACGTACCCACCAGAATCTAGGACCCTAGCTCATAGTACTTTCATATCTTTCATTATGTTTGGCATTGTGGTTTTGAAGCACTGACTTTTCTGGGGTACACAGATTGCAACGCATATTGCTCATCCTGGAATGCCATTGGCTTGTGTTTTCCAGTTATTTTCTAGCAGTTTGTATGGCCCTTTTTGGGCTGCTGAATCTTTTTTTCCCAGGCAGGACAGTGATGGCAGCCATGCTGATTTGCCACAAATCAGTGAGCGCAGCCACAGCAGCAGTGTATCTTCCATTCCGGTGCTCTCTACGCCCATGATGGACATGGAGGGGTGACTCACAGCGGCAGGGATGGGGACTAAACATCAAGGACTTTTTTGGGCGCCTAGATTCGCATTTTGCTCCAATGATGCCACTGAGAAATGGATTCTCAGAAGATGAAATCATATTGGAAAGCTTGTATTTTGCTGAAGGCCATTCACTAGAAAAAGTGGATAAAACTGATCCCTGGCCATTGACGATGATTTTCCAGTGGTAAGTCCTTCGCCAGAAGTGGTCCTTCCCCAAGCTGCTTGGATGGTAGCAGAAAATGGATCCAGCAAACATGACACATCATGACACGTCTGGATACTTCCGGGAGGTTGTATCATATTGGTGGGTTAAAATATGTTAAAATGATGGGATCCATTGGGAGCCCATTTTTTTAATGCCTTAGTTGGTGCAATGTAATTCAAGCCACTAGATCCCTCATTTGTCAAGGTTCGAGCTTCGAACTTGTTTGGATGCCCACAGATAATGTGATTGATTATTATGATGTTCCTTGAACTGTTTGTGCGAGGGTTCCAGATTCAGGTGCCGCTGCTCGCCTTTAGGCTCTCAGCAGTGGTGTGTTTTCATGGTTGCCTGCAATAAGTGCAGGCGGGCACCAGCGAAGGAACCTGACACTTGGTGCTTGGCGTGCAGGGGGGTTGAGATCCTTAACAAGGAACTCGCTGGCGTGTGGCACTGCAACGCCGTGCGTAGCCTGGCCGAGGATCAGGTTGTTGCGGCGGCACGCGCTGTCCGTGGGCTGCGGTCGCTGGGAACCAGCCTAGACAGCGCTGAGAAGTCTCGCGCGTCTGTCAGGGCGGCTTCCCGGGAGCGATCCCCGCGGCGCAGCAGCGGAGCCCCACGGTATCTCCCTGCACCGCCTCCGCCGCCGGCACCCGTGGTCAGGCCAAAGGAGGAAAGCTACTCCGAATTCGAAGAGTCGGAGGAGGAAGATACGCGTGAAGGAGATCCACCCATCACTACAAAGGCCAAGAGTGATCCGACCCGACAACCTCCTGAGCCGGCTTTACCGCCCAGGGAGTCCTCGCGAGGAGCACACGAACATCACAGAGAACGAGGAGATCAGGAACATCAGACGAAGAAGAAGAAGAAGTCAAAGAGAGGTGGCAGGAAACACGCGCGGCACCATCGAGGACTCGACCGCCCAGATCTTCCACTTCCCAGAAGGCCTCCTCAAACGTATTGGGAGGAACGGCCATCCCTTGAAGGGCATTCTGCCCGCCGGGATCGCAGGTAGCAATGTTCACATGGACAGATGGACAGGAATTTCACGTAGGCGACGATGGCGGCTGGACCTGTCTCACACTGCACCCAGGCATGGTGATAGAGGTCAAGCTGGAAGGAGAATTTGCCGCAGGCGAAGAGGAGTTGTGGGGAGGCTTTCTGGTTTACGCCGTGGAAGTGGCCTCAGATGGGGAGCTGGTGGTGACAGCAAAAAGCTTGGGCTGTTCCAATTCCGATGTCTCCAAAAGTTTGTCAAGTGCCTTCAACCGTCGAGTCGGGGTGTTGCATTTATGTCAGCTTGGCATGTGTTTAGAAGAAGGAGAGTACACCATGCATGTGCAACGGCTCCGGACCTTCAGCGTGGAAGGGTTCCAACGCAGCTACATCACTGCCTCAGGTCAAAGGCAGCTCAAGAAGTGGTTGGAGGAGCTTGGAGGCACAGAAGAGTCAGGGCTGCCTGCCCCGCTGGAGCACCCTTTGGGGCCCGTGCGAGAGGCACCCGGGGGGTCTATAGATGGGACACCTCTGAGCCCTGGCGACGAAGAGGCGTTGCCGAGGGAAAAGAAGAGGACACCTGCTGGGGCCCCACCCCGTGCAGAACTTCGAGTGAGCCAGAGCGAGAGAGACAGCTTGAGGAGACGTCTAGACGCAGCAAAAGAGAAGATGGTTGGAGAACGACGTTTGGGGGGTGCTGGCAAACGTGCCGGGCACCCCACCGAATCCCGCCAGATCATCGACATCTCATCGTCGGAAGGGTATTCAGCCTCAGAGCCGGAAGCCTTGGTGAAGATGGAACCTGTGAAGAGGAAGAGGAAGCAGCATCGGCCGCTGGACCCCTTGGGTCCGAGCCGGGCTTTAGCTGCCCTGCAAGCCGACTTGCCAGTTCCGGGCAGTCCCAAGAAGAAGAAGAAGAAGAAGGCAGCCCGGGATGTCCCAGACGAGACAACAGCGGTGGCTACAAGAGGTTCTACTACGACCAGTTGTCAGAAACAACTTATGGCTCGGGCGGCAGAATCAGCGCAGGAGAGGAAAGACAAGAGGAGCGATCAGAGACATGGGAGGAAGCCAGAGGAGCGGCTAGCTCGGATCCTTACCAAGGTTGTTCAAGGGAAGAAGGATACGAAGAAAAAGAAGAAGAAGAAAGACCGGCAAAGAAAGAAGAAGGGAATGGAAGGAGGTGGTCCGAGCGGGAGCTCCGACGGGTCCCCGACAGGAAGCTCCGACGGCTCCTCAGGGTCGGACTCCGAGGGGGCAGACTCTTCCAGCTCAGACCCAAAGAAGATGGAGCCCCCTCTGAAAAGAAAGGCCATGCAGAGGCCAGGCTCAGTCTTAAGAATGCTCGTCGAACATGCCATGGAGAAGTTGGACCAGACCTCGAAGATCGCTGTCTCCCGAAAAGACGAAGACGATCTGACACAGGGGGTCAGGATAACCACCTACTTCGCCATCGTCGTCAAGCCTCAACTGAACCAGATGAGCCCCCAGCTCAGGGAGCTACATATGTTAGCTCACGGGCTGGATTTACTCCGTGCCGGGGAGCTGGACAGCCTTGGAGACTTGCTGGCCTCGCGGTTCATCTCGCTGCACCAGGCCGGCATCGACGGCAATTGGCACGCCGCCCGCCACTTGGAGTTGATTCCATACGACGAATCATCGGCAGCGGGAGCGGCAGTGGTGCTACAGGCGAGAAAACACGCCCGGCTGGCTGCCCAGGTAGCTGGCCAAGAGCCGCGCTCCTGGAAGGGCAGCGGGCGGGGGCGTGGCCGCGGAAGTGGCTGGGAAGACTCTGGCTGGGGGCAAGACCACCGAGGGAAAGGCAAGAAGGGAGACAAAGGCAAAGGACGAGGAAAGATGGGAGGAAAAGGACAACAAGCAGCCGATACAGCAGGAGATGGACGCACGAAGGAGAAGCTGCCCGAAAAGTAAGGAGGTGTGAAGAAACTAAGGAGGCGCTGGCAAAAGCCGTGCAGCTTCGCGATACCGAGGGTAGCATCTTGGAATCAAGTTCCGCATTTTGCGGTGAAGTGAAGACTTCTGCCACGGTGCCCCCTGGTTTACGGGGGTCATTCGAGCGTTGCACTTGTTTCAAGCGTGTTGGGTGTGAGCTTGCATGGTGGGTCATTGTTGGCAGAAGCTTGGCTGAGCTTGATGGTTTCACTAAGACCTTTTGGTCCTGCTGGCAATATTGCCGTGCAGCCAAGACCAGGTCGACCCCGTTGCGTGCCAGGGGTGCGACCTTTCCTCTAAGGGAGGGAGACTTGCAGGAATTTGTTGAAGCCATGAAGGCATCAACCTTGGCTGAAGCCACCACCGAGGACGCCGTACGGCGCTGGTGTGTGGAAGCATGGATGTTTTTGGTTTTTATGGGCCTCAACGCCCTCTCTGGTGTGGCGCCACGCCCAGGCAGTGGGCGCTGGACCGTGATGGAGGCGCAAGCGGCAGCGTCCATCCGAAGGGGGGTGGACACCCGATGTCAAAAGGACGTTGGGGACTTCCAGAGCTCTGAGGAAGCGTGGAAAAAGGACATGGGGAGTAGAATGGTTGGATACAGCGGTGAAGAGGTTGCAGTTTGTGAAAAACTAAGTTTAGCCCAAATCTTGCCTGCTCTTCCCCCGGTTGGACATGGAGCAAGTGTTGATGCACTGGACTGGGTAGGACCACGTACAAGACATTTCTTGTTGAACCCGAAGGAGTTGCTTAAGAAACATGAAGATGTGGTCTTGCCTAGGATGCCAGGTAAGGTTCATGTTGTTCATGGGGAGGAACTGGAAATTGCGTGGGAACTGGTTAGGAGAAACATTTGTCAATGGCTTCCCTTGGACAAAGTGTATAAGGTTGGTGGACAACGGATTTTAAACGGTTTATTTGGGGTTTCAAAACCGGCATGTCTGGAAGATGGGCGTTCAGTGCTGAGACTCATCATGAATCTGACTGGCAGCAATGCGACTCAAGAGCAATTGGTTGGGGGATGCAATACACTACCTAACATCACATGTTGGCAGAGTTTGGTTATTGATGAAGGGGAAAGTTTGAGTTGTTTTCAGAGTGACATGTCTGCAGCTTTCTATCTATTTCGAATTCCTGAATGTTGGCAAGCTCATTTAGCGTTCAACGTTGTTACAAGTGGAATCAACCTAAACGGTAATCCGAATCAGTTGTTTGCACTTTGTTGCAATGTTATTCCAATGGGCTGGCAGTCCAGCGTTGGAATAATGCAAGAGATCTCAGAGAATCTCTTGAAGAGACACCTGCAGGGGCCCGGGCATCAGATTTGCAGGGGTAAGACACTACCCCCTTGGTTTAATGAAGTTTTGGAAAAGGCCTCTACTGAAGAAAGACACTGGTGGCATGTCTACCTTGACAATTTTGCTGCAGCAGAGCGTGTGGTGCCTGGCAACAGTTGTGTGGCAGCCCATCTTTGCCATCAGGCGGCGGAGCAAGCATGGAGCGAGGCAGGTGTGATTTCATCCTCTAAAAAGAGGGTAGCTGATCAGCCGACTATGGTGGAACTTGGAGCGGAGGTCGATGGAATCCACAAACAACTTGGAGTGACCACGGAAAAGCTGGTGAAGCTGATACAATCGACGTTGTGGATGGTAGCACAACCCTACTTGCACCGGAAGCATTTACAGATAGTAGTGGGGAGGTGGGTTTTTGCTTTACAATTCAGACGACCTGCTATGAGCATCCTGTCTGAAACTTGGAAGATGATTGGCGGCAGTTGCAAAATCACCCCTCCCCTGAGGGAGCATGTACGACGGGAGCTTCAAACTCTGGTTTTTGTCAGCCCTCTTTTATTCTGCAATTTGGGAGCACAGATCAGCAATGTTATTATGGCCTCTGACGCATCTGAAAAAGGGGGCGCAGTAGGGATTGCCAGGTCTTTGAGTGGACCGGGGAAAGACTTCACTGAAGCTAGTAGCTTGCAGGACAGACTGGGTTTTGAAGGACGAATTCCTGTCCTCCTCCTCTCACTCTTCAACGGAGTGGGGGGAGCCTTTCGCTGTTACGACGTGGCTGGTGTATTGCCTTTGGGACGGATAGCAGTCGAGATTGATGAAGCAGCTAACAGGGTCACCAGCAGAAGGTGGCCTGATGCCGAAATTGTCAAAGACATCCATCTGGTGGATAGGGCTTTGGTGCGTTCCTGGAGTCACAAATTTTTGGGCGTCAGCGAAGTTCACATATGGGGGGGTTTCCCGTGCACTGACCTCTCAAAGGTGAAATACAATCGAGAGAACCTTTCTGGGAAGAACAGCAGATTATTTTATGAAATCCCTCGTGTCATTGGACTGGTCAAATCTGAGTTTGGGCCGTCGGTGGAAGTAAAGGAAGTTGTAGAGAATGTAGCCTCTATGGATGAGGAGGCAGCAAGGGAGATCTCCTATGAGCTGGAGACCTTTCCGTTTTTGGTAGATCCCATTCATGCAGTTCCGATGAGAAGACCACGTTTTTGCTGGACGACAGAGGACATAGACGGACTATTTCCCGACGTACGGTTGGTAGCTGGGAAATACTGGACAGAGATTATTGCAGCCGCCGAATACCCCCAAATGGAGCAATGGATGGATGATGGGTTTGAATGGAAAGGTGGGCAGGAGGGAGCAGTGCTCCCCACCTGCCTCAAGAGCATCCCACGTCGATGCCCTCCACCTCGGCCGGCAGGCCTGGGAAAATGTGACTGGGAGACAAAAGAGCGTTGGCGAGAAGACTCTTTCAGGTATCCCCCGTATCAATACCAAGCTCAGTTTGTGTTTACAAATGAATCAACTTGGCGACTGGTTAACGCTAATGAGAAGGAGTTATTACTGGGTTACGGTTACAAACATACAGAAGTCGCTTGGGCTGCATCCCGCATAAAACAAAACAGGACAGGGTTCAGTGACGTGCGAAACTCCTTCATGGGAGACTGTTTCAGCATTTACAGCTTTGTTATCTTTGCAGTGGCCTGTTGTAAGAAGTTCTTACCTACCATTCCTTACAGTTTGCTTTGTAACAGAATGGGACTGGCTCCGGGTTTCAGGGCACCACTTCGATTTTTAGCCCCCCTACAAAAGCAGCTGGCCTATGGAACAGCACCTTCTTTGCTGCATGGGATGGACCCCAGTCCAGGGCTTTTGAATCGAATTTTGCTTAGGAGAACAAACCACACTGGTTCTGATGTGCGAATAGCAAGTGGGGAAATACTTAACAGCAAGGTTTTCCCGAGACAATCGGTTCAAGCAAAATGGTGGCATTGGGAGCCAGTATTTTCACAACCTTGGAAGCAGAAAGCCCACATAAATGTGTTGGAGTTGGAAGCTTTGTTACTTAGCATAAAACACCAGGTCGAGCGCTTCAAAACGTCGGACTGTAGGATCTTTCATGTGGTTGACTCATATGTTGTGATGAGTGTTGTTAGTAAGGGACGTTCCTCAAGCAAGCAACTTCACAGGGTCATGACTCGCTTGGCCGCTTTGCTACTGGCGCATGGGCTTTTCTTAATAGTGGCCCATGTTGAATCTACAGAGAATCCAACGGATCACCAATCAAGGAACTTTGGATAATGGTAAAGCTCGTTGCTGGCAAATTCAGCCGTGCAGAGCGAGCTCGACAGAGGGCTAATATAGACCTGGAAGATGCAGCACTGACTCCTGCCACTCAACAGAGGTATTACCTAGCACTTCGGAAGGTGCTACCTTACGTTGAAAAAGCGTCTTGTGAGGAAGACATCGACGCCCAAGTCTGTCACTGGGTGCGGCGCATGTGGCGAAGCGGGGAGCCCCTCCTCACCATCGGAGACGGCCTCTCTGCATTGCACTTCTTTCAACCTTGGCTTAAAAAGAAATTGCCACACGCATGGAAACTTTTTAGCACATGGCGTCGATGTGAACTTCCAGCAAGAGCTCCCCCACTCACGCTCCGCTTGGTGCGAGGCTTTGCTGCCTATGAGGCTAGTTTGGGACATCTCGAGATGAGTTCGCTCCTTCTTTTAGGGTTTCACTGTTTACTACGTACAGGTGAGCTATTGGCTTTAACACCCTCTGACCTTTTGCTAGGAGAAAGCACTGGTATTTGCTCTCTCAAGTCCACAAAATCGGGCAAGCGACATGCAGCTACAGAAGCGATCAGCATTACAGACAAAATCACCCTGGAAACGCTTAAAGCCTTGCTTAACGCCAAGGATGCTCTTCAGGTGTCAGCATTGCCCTTGTGGACTGGTACCGGTGCCTCTTTCAGGAAGAGATTCAACTCACTCTGCATTATATTTGGGGTAGAAAAACATGCCTTTCGCCCTTATTCGTTAAGGCGTGGAGGTGCTACGGAATTATTTCAGAGAACTCAATCGATGGAGAGTGCTCTCATCAGAGGACGCTGGGAATCATCCCGTGTTGCCCGTATATATATATCTGATGGGTTATCCTTCCTTCCTAGCTTGGTCCTTTCAAAGCATACGCAGACTTTGTTGGAACGGTGTTTTTTCTTTGACCCACAACGTGGGTGAACGCGCTGCTGGGGTGCGTGGTAACAGGTGCTGAAAAATTTTTCTTTCGCGCACTTCAGAGAGTCAGCTTCTACCATGAAGCGTTGCCTGGAGCTTCTACCATGAAGCTTGGAGAAATGTGAATACTCTCTACCATGAGAGTTTGCGTTGAGATGGAAAGTTAAAGCTAAAAAGCTGAAGTTTTGTGGCCAAATGGCCCAATCTTGAAGTTTCACATGGCGAGACAATGGTCTCAAGGAACAAAGCCTACCTCTTGGCGGCACGGTCAAAATATGGGGCTGAGCACAATGATGTTCCTTGAACTGTTTGTGCGAGGGTTCCAGATTCAGGTGCCGCTGCTCGCCTTTAGGCTCTCAGCAGTGGCCCAAACCTCTCCCTCCCTTGAGGTAACAGGTGCTGAAAAATTTTTCTTTCGCGCACTTCAGAGAGTCAGCTTCTACCATGAAGCGTTGCCTGGAGCTTCTACCATGAAGCTTGGAGAAATGTGAATACTCTCTACCATGAGAGTTTGCGTTGAGATGGAAAGTTAAAGCTAAAAAGCTGAAGTTTTGTGGCCAAATGGCCCAATCTTGAAGTTTCACATGGCGAGACAATGGTCTCAAGGAACAAAGCCTACCTCTTGGCGGCACGGTCAAAATATGGGGCTGAGCACAAATATTAGTATGGATCGATGACATTTCAATCATTTTATTTTTGTGAATCTTATATTACACCTACATCCACATATCAACCCTTTCATGCATACAGTAAAGCAGCACATACATATCTCCAAAGATGTATGTAACTGTAGGTATCTACACGGGTGAAATACATGCAAACTTACATGCAAACTTACTAAATTCATAGATAAGGAACACACGAATAAAGAAAGATAGATTAGATTAGATTGGATCAGATTTGAACAAGATAAGATTAGATGGGTAGATAGAAAAAGCTAGACAGGCAGAGACAGAGACATAGATAGATAAGATACTATAATTAAGATATATAAGATTAGATTAGATAGGTAGACAGACAGACAGATAGATAGACAGATAGATAGATAGATAGATATATATATATGTATAGATAACTTAGATAACTAGATAGACATTTAGAAAAACTAGATATATCATGTATTACATCTATCTAGTTATCTAAGTATATCTATATATCTTATATATCTATGTGTAGATAGATTTTCGCGTTGCTTCCCCTGTTTCCTGCTCCCAAACCCAGGTTGAGCTTCCGCACCCTGGGCAGACCTCTCCGGCGACGAGCCGAGGCGGCAGCCGCAGCGGCCGGACTCGTGGATAGCAGGGGAACTCAGGGGTCCAATTGGATGGTGAAATGGTATACATATATATATATATACTGGTTGGTGGTTGGTATTTTCACTGGGATAAAGACTGAATGGTGAATTATTAACCTAGAGTTATTAACCACATATATATATATATACATATATATATATATCTGGTTATTTAAGATTTTACCATCTGGTTATACCATTTTTAATAGGTAAACCATGGCTATGTTATATATATATATATATACTGATAGGTGGTTGGGAACTTTTTTTTTCCATAATATATGGGATAATCTTTCCATAATATATATCTACCATTTGGCTATTTAACATTTTACCATCTGGTTATACCATTTTTAACAGGTAAACATAGGTAAACCATGGCTATGTTAAATAACAAGATGGTATATAACCATGGCTATATATATATCTACCATCTGGTTATTCGTTACATAGCCATGGAAAGATCCACCATGCTATTAATAGGTAAACCATCTATTTCTATGGGCCATCTATACCATGGCTATGTTAAATAACCAGAGGGTATCTGGTTGGTGGTTGGGAACATTTTTTTCCATAATATATGTGGATATATATATATATAGCTACCATCTGGTTATTTAACATAGCCATGGAAAATCAGTATTTTTTATAGGTAAACCATCTTATACCAACGCCAGAATCACATCCCCCATCAATTATTCAAAACCAAATTTTATATCCTATCAAAAGCAACCAAGAAAACACCATCAATGATATAAAACCCAGTCATATCATATCCCCATCAATTACATGGGAATAGGTCAAAACTTATATAATCACCACACACACATATATATAATTACAACATTTGAGGTTTTTTAGGAATAAACATGCATATTAACCAGCTATTTTACATTTCCTATAAGGCACCCGGGTTTTGACTCCTAGCCATACCCTCTGGTACAATAACATGGCTATTGAACATGGCCATAGAAATCGTTGATTTACCATGATTTACCCATAAAAAAATGATGGTGTTCCATAGTTATGTTAGTTCACCAGGGTACCCTCTGGTAATTTTACAAAAAGCTACTGAACATGACCATTTATAGTGGATTTTCCCATTAAAAATGGTGGTTTTCCATGGCTATGTTAGTTCACCAGGGTATATTTCCCATCCAAAAACAGCTGAGGTCGCCGCCGAGATTTGCCTCGGCCGCGCTTCCTGCGCACCTTGCGGCCTCCGCCGCCGCCGTTGCTTCACTTCGGGCGGCGCTTCGCAGATGGCACGCCGGGATCAGAGAGGTCAAAGAATGTCTTAAACCAACCCAGTTTGTGGGATTCTTTGGGGAGTAACCCAAGTTATCCATGTTTTTCCCCGAATGCGTAGCAAGAGTTCCCGTTTCACTCTGGGGGTCTGGGGGTTGAGGGTGTGTTCGCTCGACGTTGCGTTCGCGAGCGCAACCGTTCGCAACCGTCCGCAACCGTTCGCAACCGTTCGCAACCGTTCGCGTGAGGACCGTATGGCCGTGCCTATGGGAAGTTTTACAGAGGTGGTCCTTTTTGGAGGTTTCAGACGTCTGGTTGCTTCGTTTCGCGTGGCAGGCGTGGCACTTCGTGACATTCAGACGTGTTCTGCAACGTGTCGAAAGTCGTTTTGCGTGGCAGGCGCAATACTTTTGCGACGTTTTCAGAAGATGTGTTGCAGTTTTCGTGGCAGGCGCAGCACTTTGGACGCGTCCATCGTCATTTTTCGTGGCAGGCGCAGCACTTTAGACGCGTCCTGTGGCGTGTTTTTTGTAAATCGCATTGGCAGGGCTGCGTCAAGTGGTGACAAGGTGCAAATTCCGTGGCAGGCGTGGCATTTTCTGACATGTGCTGAAAATTGACGGAAGCCTCGCACGAAACATCGATTTTGAGGTTGCAAATTTTCAGGTTCTAAGGAAAACTCGTAGGAAAACGTCGATTTTGAAGCTGCAAAGTGTGAAAAGTGGAGGAAGTCTCGCACGAAATGCTCGTTTTGGTGCTCCCACCTGTCTCTTCTCGCGTGTCTGGTTTTCCCGTGGCCTCGCCGTGTCTATGGGGGAAGCTGCAAAACCTGTCCTTTTGTTATGTTGCCAACTGTGAAAATTGGAGGAAGTCTCGTACGAAATGCTGGTTTTTCTGCATCCACGTGTCTTGTCGCGAGTCTCTCGTTTTCCTGTGGCGTCGCCGTGTCTATGGGGGAAGCCGCAAAACATCTCCTTTTCGAATGTTTCCACACAGGTTGTCATGTTGTTTTGCGTGGCCGACGTGGCAGTTTCTGACATTTTCCAACCTGTCTGATAACGTGTCGAAAATGTCAAAATTGGAGGAAGTCTCGCACGAAATGCTGGTTTTTCTGCATCCACGTGTCTTGTCTCGAGTCGCTGGTTTTCCTGTGGCGTCGCCGTGTCTATGGGGGAAGCTGGAAAACATCTCCTATTCGAATGTGTCCACGCAGGTTGTCAGATCGTTTTGCATGGCAGGCGTGGCACTTTGTGACATTCCAACCTGTTTGATTCGAAAATGTCAAAATTGGATGAAGTCTCGCATGAAATGTTCGTTTTTTTGCACCCACGTGTCTCGTCTCGAGTCTCCGGTTTTCCTGTGGTGTCGCCGTGTCTAGGGGGGAAGCTCCGCACTCCACACTCTACACTTTACACTCCACACTCCACAATTTACACTTTAGACTCCACACTCTACACTTTACACTCCACACTTCACACTTTGCACTTTACACTCCTCACTCCTCACCTGAGACTTTACATTCCACACTCCACACTTTACACTACACTTTGCACTTTCCACTCCTCACTCCTCACTCTACACTTTACACTCCACACTCCACACTTTACACTCCACACTCCACAGTTTACACTACACACTCCAAACTTTCCACTCCACACTCCACACTTTACACTCCACACTCCACACTTTACACTCCACACTCCACACTTTACACTCCACACTCCACACTCACACTTTACACTCCTCACTCCACACTTTACACTCCTCACTCCACACTTTACACTCCACACTCCTTACTTTACACTCCACACTTCACACTCCACACTTTCCACTCCACACTCCACACTCCACACTCCACACTTTACACTCCACACTCCACACTTTACACTCCTCACTCTACACTTTACACTCCACACTTTACACTTTACACTCCTCACTCCACACTCTACACTCCACACTCCCCATTTTACACGCCACACTCTACACTCTACACTTTCCACTCCACACTCCGCACTCCACACTCCACACTTTACTGTGCACTCCACACTTTATACTTTAAACTTTACACTCCACACTTTACACTCCTCTCTTTACACTCCACACTCCACACTCTACACTTTCCACTCCAGACTCCGCACTCTACACTTTACGCTCCAGACTCCACACTTTACACTCCACACTCCACACTCACACTTTACACTCCACACTCCACACTTTACACTCCTCACTCCACACTTTACACTCCACACTCCTTACTTTACACTCCACACTTCACACTCCACACTTTCCACTCCACACTCCACACTCCACACTTTACACTCCACACTCCACACTTTACACTCCTCACTCCACACTTTACACTCCACACTTTACACTCCACACTCCACACTCTACACTTTACACTCCACACTTTACACTCCGGACTCCACACTTCACACTCTACAATTTACAATCTCCACATTCCACACTTTACGCTCCTCACTTTACACTCCACACTCCTCACTCCACACTTTACATTCCACACTTTACACTCCACACTCCACACTTTGCACTTTACACTCCTCACTCCACACTCTACACTCTACACTTTCCACTCCACACTCCACACTCCACACTCTACACTTTAAACTCCACACTCCAAACTTTACACTTTACACTCCTCACTCCACACTCTACACTCCACACTCCCCACTTTACACGCCACACTCCTTCCACTCCACAATCCGCACTCCACACTCCACACTTTACTGTACACTCCACACTCCACACTTTATACTTTACACTCCTCGCTCCACACTCCGCACTGTACACTCCTCACTCCACACTCCACACTTTACACTCCACACTCCACACTTCACACTCCACACTTTCCACTCCACACTCCACACTCCACACTTTACACTCCACACTCCACACTTTACACTTTTCACTCCACACTTTACACTCCACACTTTACACTCCTCACTCCACACTCCACACTTTACACTCCACACTTTACACTCCACACTTCAACTCCACACTTTCCACTCCTCACTTTTCACTCCACACTTTACACTCCACACTCGACACTTTACACTGCTCACTCTACACTTTACACTCCACACTTTACACTCCACACTCCTCACTCCACACTTTACACTCCACACTTTACACTCCACACTTCACACTCCACACTCCACACTCTACACTTTACACTCTACACTATACACTCTATACTCCACACTTTACACTTTACACTCCTACTTTACACTCCACACTTTGCACTTTACACTCCTCACTCCACACTCTACACTCCACACTCTACACTCCACACTCTACACTTTACCCTCCATACTCCACACTCTACACTTTACACTCCGCATTCTACTCTTTACACACTCTACACTCCCCACTCCACACTTTACACTCCACACTCCTTACTTCACACTCCACACTCCACACGCTACACTTTCCACTCCGCACTGCAGACAGGTAACAAGGGAAACATGCACAAGACTGTTCAAATAAACTATTGCAGAAAGGTTTTGTGCGTGACTGCATAACCATGTGTTTTGACATCTGTACCATTAACATACGTGTGAGCATTCGGGTTCGTGGGCTTCATCTTGTTTGGATCTTGTTGGGGTGTCACCTTGGATGTTGTTGGTGTCGCGATTCTCCCCTGGGTGATGTTCGTTGCCAAGTTGCCAAGTTGGGTCCCCAGCCATGGGGACCCCAAAATGGTGTTGAACATGTTAGGTACCTCCATGCCAACAAAAACGAAACATGTAGGTAGAATCCTTTCAAACAATGGCATGGTCACAAACAACCATGGCCGTTTTGGAGAAACCCAATTCACATAAGTTATATATCCCAATTTCTATCCCTTCATATCCCCCAAAAAAACGGCTACGGGTCAAAATTTAGTAATTACTTCTAGTTTTGAAGAAGGTTAATACATACTAAACATCGAGCAAAAAATAGGGGTCCGGAGCCTTAAACTTGATGATCTCCATCAATTAAAAACGACTAATGCGGTACAAATAATGACTCATCCTCAATTTCACCATTTTTATGGGTGGTATGTTCACCATTCCCACTAAAATGGGTGGTTTATTGTTTGACCCGCGCCAGCTGCGCTGCTGCGCCAGGTCCATTTCTGATGCCGCTGCCTCTGCCGTTGGCCGCGGTGCCGTTGCCCACACCTCCGGTTGTGCCCCGGAGAAGACATGCCTCCGGCTGCAGCTTATTGGAGGCCTTGGCCGGGGGGAGGTACGAGGGACTTAAGGGAGGATCATCCGATGGGGTTTCATGGGTTTATGGATTTCATGGATTTCATGGATCCAATATGGATTTATATTTAAAAAAATCAATGGATTCATAGATACTTATTGTGGATTTTATGGATTCAAGATGAGAATCATCCTGTTGGTCCATGTTGGTCCTGTAAAAATTCAGGACCATAGATTCGATGGATTCATACATGGAGGATCATGACTAAGCTGATTTGAGTTGTGTGGCTGGTGGGATTTATTTAACTAGGTAATGTAACTAGGGCAAAAAAAGGGATGTCATGGGCAAAAAAAAGAGATATATATGTAAGAATTACTTTGCTTGGTGGTTTCGAATGTTTCACATGTAAGGAATTGAAATGGATTAGGGTTAGTATGAAATGGATTTGGGGGTGGATTTCTGAAAATTATTGTTGGTATATTGTTTTAATAAATGGGGGACCCATAGCCCCCACTCCAAACACCAACCACCCAGCAGTGGTGGCTGGCAGCGACAGAGCTCCTGCACAGACGCTGGGTTGCAGTTGGGCGGATGGAGTGGCTTATTTAGGGTTATGTAGGTAGATGGCATCCCAATATGCCAATTAATATCACCAATTCATCAGTGAACAGACCACAGTACATTTGATGTTAAAAGGTTTGAATCTCTAGTTTTATATACATATATATATATATGGTCTTATAGATATGTGGATATGTTACATATATATATACTATATATACTATACTATATATATACTATATATACACTATATATATACACTATATATATACTATATATATATATACTATATATATATACTATATATACTATATATACTATACTATATATATATACTATATATATATATACTATATATATACTATACATATACTATATATATATACTTTATATACATACATATATATATGCACATCGATGTATATATATATATACACATGTGTATACATATTTTTCCCCACCTGCCAGGTGAGGGTTGTTAGATGTTATCAGAGTTGTTCTTCTCCTCCTCCTCCTCCTACTCCTCTTCCTCCTCCTCCTCGTCCTCCTCCTTCTCCTCCACCACTTCGCCAGGCTCTTCGCCAACTTCCGCACGTAGTGGGCACTGCTGGACCTCGACCTGCGACCTGCCGAGCTCAGTGAGCACCGCTGGACCTCAACCTGGGACCTGCCGAGTTCAGTGAGCACCGCTGGACCTCAACCTGGGACCTTCCGAGCTCAGTGAGCACCGCTGGACCTCAACCTGGGACACGCCGAGCTCAGTGAGCACCGCTGGACCTCAACCTGGGACCTTCCGAGCTCAGTGAGCACCGCTGGACCTCAACGGCCAGATAGAATGCCAGAAGATATGCCAGATAGAACGCCAGATAGCATGTCAGATAGAATGCCAGAAGATATACCAGATAAAATTCCGGAAGATATGCCAGATAGAATGCCAGAAGATATGCCAGATAGAATGCCAGATGGTATATCAGATACAGTGCCAGAATGTTTGCGAGATTGAATGCCAGAAGATTTGCCAGATAGAATGCCAGATAGAATGCCCCCGGGGGGAGGGGGGGGTTCCTTTTTGGCACTTTTTCTTTGTGGGAGCCATTTGACAAAGGATTTTCAAACTTGTGGGGGTCTGCTTTGGGTAGACTAGTAGCAGATTCAATGGGCTTGTGTCTGAAAAGATTTCATTTTCAAGACTGAAACTCTGTAAGGGTGATTGTTTTTTTGCCATGGATAATGGATGTATGTTCTGTGAAAAGATATTGGTTGTATGTTCTGTGACCAAGTTTCCAACTTGTCGAGTAGCTCCATGTCAGCATCACCACTGAACAAGTCAGTTTGACTGTCATCCATGGCTGCCAAGAAGGATAGTGGAATGAAAGACCAACCAAAATATATAATAATCCCAAATCCATAGCCATTCTTTATATGCAGCCTGCAGATCTAGCTGTGCAATTTTGATGAGTGTACTTCTGCCGGTTTCGTTTGAAACCTGCAGATCTCCCAGGGCCATTTCTTTTTCAGCAGATCTTGAGCCCCCAAATCCTGGCAGGTGAGATCTGCAGGTTTTGCTTTCCACCTGGTACTTCTGCCGGTTTCGGATGAAACCTGCAGAAGTCAAGGCCTCATTTTGGGAAAGGGACTTCTGCAGGATCAATTTTTGAAGCCAATGAATTAATATGCGGTGGATTTGGGTCTAGGCAGGGCCGATTTCTACGGATTTCGTTTGAAACCCGCAGATCTCTGAACCATTATCCACGGCAATTTAATTTGTCCATTATCCATGGCAAAAAAAAACAATAACCCTTACAGAGTTTCAGTCTTGAAAATGAAATCTTTTCAGACACAGGCCCATTGAATCTGCTACTAGTCTCCCCAAAGCAGACCCCCACAAGTTTGAAAATCCTTTGTCAAATGGCTCCCACAAAGAAAAAGTGCCAAAAAGGAACCCCCCCTCCCCCCCGGGGGCATTCTATTTGGCAAATCTTCTGGCATTCAATCTGGCAAACATTCTGGCACTGTATCTGATATACCATCTGGCATTCTATCTGGCATATCTTCTGGCATTCTATCTGGCATATCTTCCGGCATTTTATTTGGCATATCTTCTGGCATTCTATCTGACATGCTATCTGGCGTTCTATCTGGCATATCTTCTGGCATTCTATCTGGCCGTTGAGGTCCAGCGGTGCTCACTGAGCTCGGAAGGTCCCAGGTTGAGGTCCAGCGGTGCTCACTGAGCTCGGCGGGTCCCAGGTTGAGGTCCAGCGGTGCTCACTGAGCTCGGAAGGTCCCAGGTTGAGGTCCAGCGGTGCTCACTGAACTCGGCAGGTCCCAGGTTGAGGTCCAGCGGTGCTCACTGAGCTCGGCAGGTCCCAGGTCGAGGTCCAGCAGTGCCCACTACGTGCGGAAGTTGGCGAAGAGCTTGGCGAAGAGTTGGCAAGGCGGAAGTGAACATGGGAGTGGAGGCAGAGGTGGTGGAGGAGAAGGAGGAGGACGAGGAGGAGGAGGAAGAGGAGTAGGAGGAGTAGGAGGAGGAGAAGGAGAAGAACAACTCTGATAACATCTAACAACCCTCACCTGGCAGGTTGGGAAAAATATGTATACACATGTGTATTATATATATATATATCTACATCGATGTGCATATATATATATATAGTATATATATATATATAGTGTATGTATAGTATATATATATATAAAGTATATATATATAGTACAGATATATATATATATAGAGTGTATATATATATATATATAGAGTGTATATATATAGAGTATATATATATAGTGTGTATGTATGTATATATATAGTAGTATATAGTATATATATATATGTAACATATCCACATATCTATAAGACCATATATATATATGTATTTAGAACTAGAGATTCAAACCTTTTAACTTTTAACATCAAATGTACTGTAGTCTGTTCACTGATGAATTGGTGATATTAATTGGCATATTGGGATGCCATCTACCTACATAACCCTAAATAAACCACTCCATCCGCCCAACTGCAACCCAGCGTCTGTGCAGGAGCTCTGCCGCTGCCAGCCACCACTGCTGGGTGGTTGGTGTTTGGAGTGGGGGCTATGGGTCCCCCATTTATTACAACAATATACCAACAATAATTTTCAGAAATCCACCCCCAAATCCATTTCATACTAACCCTAATCCATTTCAATTCCTTATGTGTTAAAAAAATCTACCCCATTTGGGATGATGATCCCAAATGACGACAACTGTTCAGATGGGTTGAAACCACCAATCAGTGAAGTGGGTGAACAATAGTTCAGTATAAATGTGTGTTTTTTTTGTGTAGAGAGGATGGTTGGGCGAAAAAAAAAACCATCCTTGAAGATAGACCAAAGGATAGGACGTGATATGGTTGGAGTTTCTCGCTTTGGCGAGTCCAGCTGTCGCTACGATGATCCACCCCAGGTCCCATCCTTGCCATTTCTTCTGCGCGTGGGCCGAACGCCCGACTGGGGATGGAGCCTGACGCCTGTGGTGGAAGGCAGGGTCCAGTCATCAGTCAGGGCTACTGTGACTACTCTTCCATTGATGGATGGTTATGGTTAATGATGAATAGCAACATAATATACCAAGTATAATAGTGATAACCATCATTAACCACCATTAATCATCAACTATAGATGGATAGGATGAATGTTTTCAATCACCAATATTGGACTCAATGGATTCGGACTCGGCCGCAAACTCTACAGGGCGAGTGGAAGCACCCACGCGGAATGGTGTGAGGGCCCAGTGTCATGAGCAGAGTCATGATATTTCCTGGCTGAGTGTGGCTGATATATGGTATAAGTACATCTTTCATCATTTGGGTTCAATATGGTTCAATGTTTCAGTGGGCTCAGGGCTCAATGTCTCTGAGAAAATCGGGTATTGACTCTATAATTGGAGCGCACTCTTCAATCCAGCTAGCTGAAGCTGGTGTCGAAAGGTTTTGGCATGACAACATGCGCCTGATGTATTTGCGGTTCACATTTTGCAGCAATCTCAGCTCAAAACTCACTGATTTGCGGGGGCCTTCCATCAGGAAGGCACTTCTATCGCGTCGCAAGCTGAGAGGATTGGGACTTTGGATGACTTTGGGTTAAAGGCTGCATGACAGATGACAGTAACCTTAAGAATGATCCCTAAGGTTGCCAATACTTAAGTGTGCCATGGTCCCAATCCTTGGGGATGATCGAATCATCATGAATCATCAATCCATTAAGATTGCCCATGGAAATGGGACCACAAAGATCCACAAATCATTCATCCCATCTTTTGACCATGACATGTACTGTACCACTTTTGTTCCAAATGTTAGGGGCCAAAATGGCCATCCAACTGACCATAGAAACACACATCCCACCTTCAGAGATAATCGTCACCAAGGTGACTTCAACTCGATCGTCATGGAGGCGTCCGGCATTGCTCGAAATGTGCACGGTCCATGTCCCCGGCAATGTTGATATATGTTGATATATGTTGATATCATATTTCATATTGATCAACAAGAACGTATCTCAGGCCAAAAGAAGTTCCGAAGATTCCAGAAGTCTATAGAAATCTTGTTTTTTTTTTTTTTTAGAAAATCCCATTTTTGGATCGAAGATGTCTATAGATTTCTGGAAAAAAACCCATTCTTCCCTGGGAAAATCCCTGGATCCCACTAGGAGCTCCAAGCCCATTCCCAGCTGATGGAGATGGAGTCCGGTTCTGAGCTGGAAGGCCTGGCGATTTGATCATGGGATGATCAGGGGCCAATCAACAGCTTTTCTTCTGGTTTATATATGTTTATAATGGTTTATAATGGTTTATATATCATGTTTTGTAAATATGTTTATCACATGTTATATATATATATATGTGTGTTTATCGGTTTTGATATGTTTCGATGGGATAAAACATAAAAAAATCAGGTTCTGTATCTTCTGTTCAGAATTTAGATCTTTTAGATCGTTTAAACTTGATTCCGAAGATAGCCATGGGAGGTCTCCTGCGGAGCCAACGTTGGGGTGATCCTTGAAGTTCATGAACATGTGATTCAAAATTTCAAGGACCAGACCCTCAAAGTAGCCCCTAAAGTCCTAAACAGTGCTGTTTTACCATGTTTTACTGTACCATGGTTGACCTTGTTCTTATCCCAAGATCTCGGTCAAAGCATTCTGCACAGAGCACAGGTGATACACAGCTGTGCCCTGTGCGTGAGTCTCCGCAGAGTCGTCTCTTGGCGTTTTTTTTAAATAAACCAGATGAATGAAGCTTTGTGAACATAAGCATACATAAGCCACACTGGCCAATCTTACCATAGATGTCTATGAACTAGCCCAAACTGGTCTGATTTTTATTTCAGGTGGTAATTTGGTCATTTGGATTTACTGACCGGCCAGAACTTGATCTACGCTCTACTCAATATTCTTTGAATGAATCAACCACATCGACCATCATGTTTCAGATGTTTCAGTGACATTCAGTGACCAGTCCACAGCGATACCAGGTGCCTCTGGAGAAGCATCGGAGAAACAGGACTGGTCGATCATGCGGGAGTTTGATCAAGACTGGACCAAAGCTGCAGAGGCACAGACAGGGTTTGGCCCGGAGGGGATTCGCCATGGCAGATGAGATCTTCACCGGCGGTTTCACAGTTTCTGCTGACAGGTTGGAAGTAATAGTACGCGAGGTTGGAGTTGCAAGGAGCTGGAACAGCTTGAAACAGAGAACCATGTGTCTTGAGAAAGGACCGGCAGGTCATTTTTCCTGTGGTGCAAATGTGACTTTTCATCGCTGGGAAGATTGCCACAGGCCGATGCACCTGCACCTTCCACGCCAACGAAGAAGATGCTCTTGGATTTGTCGCCTCAAAGTGTCGAAAAGTTCCCAGAGGCTCTGCACAAGGCGAGAGGCTCGGTGATGTGAAAATGCCATGGTCTTCAACTAAGGCCTTTCAAAGATGATCCCCCCCAAAAAAAAGCCTGATCAGCGGTGGTTGTTGGTGAATAAGCCCTTCATAATCTTCATACGCCCAAGCATTATTGGGGGATCAGCTTCAATCTGCAGAAACAAATTGAATCCCCATGTTTTGATCTCTTTGGTGTGACAGCCCTCAGGTTCCAGAAGCGGCTGCAGGGGAAGGCAAAGGCGTGATGACAGTGCCCCGGCAGAACTGGGAAGATGTGGCTTGCACGTTGGCACTTTCCTGTTTTGACTGATGGTGGTGTCCCCCCTAAAATTCATTGATATGCATTGCTTCCTCATGCTTGATCATCATTTTCCGCTGTGATCTACGTTTCCGAATATTGCCACTTCATGCCACTTCCAGATATATAAAGTCACTCTTCAAAACATCCCAAAACATTGATAGGCATGTCATTTATCAAATGTATATATATATATACATATATATATATATATACATATATAATTATATACATATACAAATACATAATATATATACATATATATATATATGTGTGTGTCTATCGCTATTTCAGTGGGATTTTACTTACTTTTCTATGTTCTTTTGGGAGGGTACTACTTGGTACTATTTTCCATTTCTCGACGGCGGGTTTTTCCAAAAACAAGGATTCTTTCGAGGAGCCGGACTCGGCTGATGAGGCCCGGCTGTCGACCGGCCATCATGGTGTCATTGACAGCCAATCATACCCTCTGGTAATTTAACATAGCTATTGAAAATGGCCATTTATAGTGGATTTACCCATTAAAAATGGAGATTTTCCATAGCTATGTTAAATTACCAGAGGCTAATTTTTCCTTTTTAAAAACTGGTCCACCTGGCCATTTGGCCAGGTGCAAATCCATGCAGATGCTGCATGATGCTGCATTTTCAGAGAGACCCAAATTCCACGATCCGATATATGTGATATGTATACCATTTTTGATTCTCAAAACCTTAAAAAAAGTAATCTTAAATCATGTTAAATCCCCATTTCAGTGAAACATAGTGAAACATAGTGAAACCATGTAAGATCCCCACGTTTGCCGGTCAACCTCCCCGACCTTCATGGTTCATTGTTGAATAATGTTGAATAGTAAATACCATGGTAAATACCAATGAAATACCCATTGTTCACGCTTAAAATCATGTTATTTCATGGATCAACCCCCCAAAGTGTTCATGCATAAACATGCATAAACATGCATAAACATGCATAAACATGCATAAACATGCATAAACATGCATAAACATGCATAAACATGCATAAACGGGACAAATACCAATTAAAGACATTTGTTTCATCTTCTTTATGGCATTTTTCATGGATCAAGCCACCACTATCCCATCGCCAGGTGGGTGAGTTGCAGTGCCAGACCTGCCTGGCCTTTGACATCGCCAAGTCACCGGAGCACGGCTGGTCCCCGGCAGAGGTGGAGCCTGCGATCGAAAATCCACGGGGGATTTCATGGCGAGATTTCGTGGGGAGACCCTCTGGTTATGACTAACATAGCTATTGAAAATGACCATTTATAGTGGATTTTCCCATTAAAACCTCCATTCACAGGGGATTTTTCATCAGCTATTGAACATGGGGATAACAAAAAGCTATGGAACATCACCATTTTTGATGGGAAAACTCATTATAAATATGGTTTATGGTAGATATAACTATGGTTAATGGGGGTTATAATGGTTACTATGGAAAATCACCATTTTTAATGAGAAAATCCACTATTTCTATGGCCATTTTCAATAGCTTTTTGTAAAATTACCGGTAGGCCATCAACACATTTGGGGATACCATCCGATGTGTCATCAGCTCCGTGGGACAATCCACCATTGATTTTTTGTCAATTTTCCCACGAAAATACAAAAAAAACCCGGGAATACAGAGGATTTTCCAGCTTGACACGATTGATTACCAGAGGGTACCCCTGGCCCATACACTTCCCAATGAGGAATAGGGCTTCCTTATGGGAGCCTTATGGGAATGGGATAAATCATATCATTGGGGGTACCCGCAAAGAATTCCAGCAGCAGATAGTAATACTATGATTATGATGATGTAATATGGGATATTATTTATATTATTTACATGATTAGCATCGCATTTTTTTGGAACCATGTATATATAGTTATAATATATATATATGTATGTGTGTGTCGTCACTATGCCGGCATTTCAGCACATTATATATATATGATATATTAACTATCATTATATATATATATATACCTATCTACGTGTGTGTACGTGTGTGTGATAATTTTATTTATTTAGTATAAGTCACTATATTAAAAGAAGGAACCAAAAAACATCTTGGTAGATTCAATTTCTTATGCACACCTTTACTTGATATGAGTCTTGTTGTTCCTTAGGAGTGCCACAAGAAAACCAGCCCTCTCACAGCAAGGATATGATGTTGGACAACGACCTGGAAGCCCGAATCCAATCGCACCTGACCTTCGTTGCGCATCTTGGCCTTGAAACAGTTGAGCCTTTAACACACCCTGATAGGTTCACATTAGGGAGTTATAGTAAAGTACTGATTTATTATTTTATTGGTGATTATTATAACATATTACGTATTAATCATATTATAACCCATAGGGAAACCTATCAACCTACCAAGCTGGTCATTTCTTTTCCTGCCAATAGCGGTTTTAGAGCCCGGATGCCCATTGATGAATGATCCATGGCTGGATTCGCCGGTGGATGAAGTGATAGGTCTCATTCCCAAGTTGATGATTGGTTCATGTTCAGTTTCTTGCGGAGGTTGACTTGCACACCCAACTCACATCTTTCACCACGTAGGGACCGCCGTAGGGTCCTGAGTTCTGCCAGTTCTGCCGCTCCGATCCAAGGAGTCCCATTGAAGTCCAACCTGAAGCTGTGGAAGGATTTGGGGAGGTGCCACAGGCAGATGGGTTCTACCGCTATTGACGAGGGTTCATCTTCTCAAATCATACATGGTTGTTGTTGCATGGTTTTTTAGTTTGTTTCAGTCTTGCATGGCTTTCTTGGATTGATCGGCTACTTCCAATGTGAACGGCTTCACTCTTTCGGCTACATGTTACCTTTGCACAGCATTTCGCTGGACAGTTGATCCTTAACGGACAGGTCTGGGAAGATCAGGCTGTGAAGGAAACAGATGAGGATTCCAGTCGACCTGCTGAACCCATGGAAGCAGGGGATGGGTCACCTGTGGAAGGTTCAGCAGCAGCTATGGATGGTTCACCCAACGATGGCGTGCGTGATGATCATTCTGAGCACTCCCAGGACGGAGTCGCTCTGACCGGGTTGGAACCTGCTGCTTTCGAGGTCGAGATTCAGGCGGCGTTTCCTGGGCGTCTCAGTTCTGCCCAAGACGGTGGTCAGCAACCAGCAGCAGCTCAGGATCAGGATGATGAGGGTAGTGTTGGGCACTCAGCCTGTTTGGTGGAAAAAAAATCCCCAGAACTTGGGTGGATTTGGGTGGGCTTTCTAAGTCCAAATCTTCTGATATGGGTATGGGTCAATACCTATTAATACCATTTTAATGGGATGAACATCCATTTACCAGCTATTTTGATGTTCACCAGGGGTACAAGGTTTTGACACACTGCCATATACACGTGTGTGATGTGAAACTATTCTGCAGTAGTGAAACTATTGTGTAGTAGTGAAACTATTGTGTACTTATGGCCAGATTGGCTAGGGCTAGCAACTGCACATTATCACTTGGCCATTTGATGAGGGCCTAGTCAGAAACCAAATGATGATGAGCCATGCGATCTGCGATCTCACCACATATGGCCCCCACCCTGAGGGAAGGCAATACGAACATATCCGAGCGCATCCGAGCGCTATTTTTCACTATTCATAGGCATAACATGGTGTAACAGCTGAGTCATGTTTACTATTTCACTTCTTACTGCTGCATTGATACATTCAATTCATATAATGTATATACACATATGCATACATACACTCATATTCGCGGTCATATTCACAGTCGTGTATCTATCCTGGAAGCCAGGTGGCTGGCAGTCTTCAAGGGGCTTTGGAAGGTCCGCACCGCAACGACTGCAGCTATTGCGACGCGTGGCATGAGACTGTGACGTACCTCGAGGAGTTGGATGCTGCGGCAGGGCCACGTCCTGAAACACCGAGCTCAAGAAGTAGCTCAGTGTCCCGGAGGTGTTTTTGTGTCCTCTGTTAGTTTAATTGTTTAATCCACAAAAAAAGTGGGTAAAACAATCATAAACCACCCATTTGGGAATGGTGTACACCACCTATTTATGATTTTGGGGATGGTTTATTGTTGTTTTACCCACATTATTGGCTATTGGGATTTGTTCTGCTTTATCGTTTTTCCATTTCTTAGGCCATGTGAATCCATGATTATCACGATTTGAGGACTTGAATGGGACAGAGTGGGAAGCTTCTTTGTTTTCTCGGGTGCCATTTTGAGCAAATCCAAGGTGTTGGATTTCGTCCCAAGTGATGTTGACTCGGAAGATCCTTCGGAAATGGAGAGCCTCCATTCGGCCGAAGGGATCCCGGAGAGCGTCGAAGCTGGAGAGGTTGGTGGGGCCCATGGAGTTCATGGAGTTCATGGAGATTAGTGAGAGGTGATTATACCCATTAGATCCCATTAGCTGATTAGGATATTAATTAGGATTAGACCGACCTGTTTTTAGGTGATTACTATTGGTTACTTGCACAAATTTTAACTGTATCGTTCTTTCTCTTTTAGCTTTGGTGGGAATATAGTGTGAATGGTTTTTAGGTATAAAGACCAGCATACACATATTATATAATCTAATTAAATCTAATTATATCTAATTAAATCTATCACCCTTCATCCCCATCCAACTGGGTATCATGTCGCATGCAACAAAACCCTCCAGAATTGCCAGGTGGAGGATGCCCCCCTGATCCCTGGTGCGTGGGAAGAATCTAACCAGGTGGGGGTGTCGAAAATGTTGGATTTTAGCCCCCATGAAGAGCCATCAAAATCCATTGAACATGGGGGAAATGATGATGGTCTGATAAACAATCTAAGTTTATTCAAATTATGGGTAATCCTCAGATTTTCGGACAAGCCCAGGTAGATTTGGATGATTTGACTGGCTCTTGCCTCGCTGAAGACCTTGTGCTCAGTGATGAAGATGCCCACAATGAAACAGGGGAGGACAAACAGAGTGATAGCGTTTCTGCAGCAGATCCAGCGTTCTTGGACGAAGGCCGTGCTGATTCTTTGAGCATGGACGGTTCTGCCAAGCTTTCAGTCGATGCTGCAGATGGTAGCGGTGATGAGGAGCACAACGACCAGAATGAAGACATCGATGCTGAGCAGCCCGTCTCAGATGCAGACTATGCTCCTGTTGGTTCTGGCGAAGCTGTCATTATGTCGGAGGAACTGGAAGAGGATCTTCAACCTTCCAGTCCATTAGGAGATTTGCCTGGTTTCTCCAAGGATGGCATTTTGGAGGAAGCTGGTGACTTTGCGCACGATGGTTCTCTTGCATCAGCCTTTGGGGTTGATGATGGCAAGTTGTTGGCAGCGGGCTCTAGTGAATCCCCAGAGGCCAATGAAGCATTTGATGAGATTGCGGAGCGGCATGAGCAGCTTGAATCAGTCAAGGAGCCTGCGTTGCAGCCTGTGGATTTGCCCAGCCCCTCGAGTCCAAAAGCTTCGGTTGTCTCCGATGAAGCATCTCATGTTGAAGCAGATGATGCAGAGAACAGCCAGGAGAATGGCAATGTCTCTGCAGTGGATCCAGCGTTCTTGGACGAAGGCTGCGCTGATTCTTTGAGCATGGACGGTTCTGCCAAGCTTTCAGTCGATGCTGCAGATGGTAGCGGTGATGAGGAGCACAACGACCAGAATGAAGACATCGATGCTGAGCAGCCCGTCTCAGATGCAGACCATGCTCTTGTTAGTGCTGGCGAAGCTGTCATTATGTCGGAGGAACTGGAAGAGGATCTTCAACCTTCCAGTCCATTGGGAGATTTGCCTGGTTTCTCCAAGGATGGCATTTTGGAGGAAGCTGGTGACTTTGCGCACGATGGTTCTCTTGCATCAGCCTTTGGGGTTGATGATGGCAAGTTGTTGGCAGCGGGCTCTAGTGAATCCCCAGAGGCCAATGAAGCATTTGATGAGATTGCAGAGCAGCATGAGCAGCTTGAATCAGTCAAGGAGCCTGCGTTGCAGCCTGTGGATTTGCCCAGCCCCTCGAGTCCAAAAGCTTCGGTTGTCTCCGATGAAGCATCTCATGTTGAAGCAGATGATGCAGAGAACAGCCAGGAGAATGGCAATGTCTCTGCAGTGGATCCAGCGTTCTTGGACGAAGGCTGCGCTGATTCTTTGAGCATGGACGGTTCTGCCAAGCTTTCAATTGATGCTGCCGATGGAAGCGGTGATGAGGAGCACAACGGCCAGAATGAAGACATCGATGCTGAGCAGCCCGTCTCAGATGCAGACCATGCTCTTGTTGGTGCTGGCGAAGCTGTCATTATGTCGGAGGAACTGGAAGAGGATCTTCAACTTTCCAGTCCATTGGGAGATTTGCCTGGTTTCTCCAAGGATGGCATTTTGGAGGAAGCTGGTGACTTTGCGCACGATGGTTCTCTTGCATCAGCCTTTGAGGTTGATGATGGCAAGTTGTTGGCAGCGGGCTCTAGTGAATCCCCAGAGGCCAATGAAGCATTTGATGAGATTGCAGAGCAGCATGAGCAGCTTGAATCAGTCAAGGAGCCTGCGTTGCAGCCTGCGGATTTGCCCAGCCCCTCGAGTCCAAAAGCTTCGGTTGTCTCCGATGAAGCATCTCATGTCGAAGCAGATGATGCAGAGAACGGCCAGGAGAATGGCAGCGTTTCTGCAGTGGATCCAGCGTTCTTGGACGAAGGCTGCGCTGATTCTTTGAGCATGGACGGTTCTGCCAAGCTTTCAGTCGATGCTGCCGATGGAAGCGGTGATGAGGAGCACAACGGCCAGAATGAAGACATCGATGCTGAGCAGCCCGTCTCAGATGCAGACTATGCTCCTGTTGGTTCTGGCGAAGCTGTCATTATGTCGGAGGAACTGGAAGAGGATCTTCAACCTTCCAGTCCATTGGGAGATTTGCCTGGTTTCTCCAAGGATGGCATTTTGGAGGAAGCTGGTGACTTTGCGCACGATGGTTCTCTTGCATCAGCCTTTGAGGTTGATGATGGCAAGTTGTTGGCAGCGGGCTCTAGTGAATCCCCAGAGGCCAATGAAGCATTTGATGAGATTGCAGAGCAGCATGAGCAGCTTGAATCAGTCAAGGAGCCTGCGTTGCAGCCTGTGGATTTGCCCAGCCCCTCGAGTCCAAAAGCTTCGGTTGTCTCCGATGAAGCATCTCATGTTGAAGCAGATGATGCAGAGAACGGCCAGGAGAATGGCAATGTCTCTGCAGTGGATCCAGCGTTCTTGGACGAAGGCTGTGCTGATTCTTTGAGCATGGTCGGTTCTGCCAAGCTTTCAGTCGATGCTGCCGATGGAAGCGGTGATGAGGAGCACAACGGCCAGAATGAAGACATCGATGCTGAGCAGCCCGTCTCAGATGCAGACCATGCTCTTGTTGGTGCTGGCGAAGCTGTCATTATGTCGGAGGAACTGGAAGAGGATCTTCAACCTTCCAGTCCATTGGGAGATTTGCCTGGTTTCTCCAAGGATGGCATTTTGGAGGAAGCTGGTGACTTTGCGCACGATGGTTCTCTTGCATCAGCCTTTGAGGTTGATGATGGCAAGTTGTTGGCAGCGGGCTCTAGTGAATCCCCAGAGGCCAATGAAGCATTTGATGAGATTGCGGAGCGCATGAGCAGCTTGAATCAGTCAAGGAGCCTGCGTTGCAGCCTGTGGATTTGCCCAGCCCCTCGAGTCCAAAAGCTTCGGTTGTCTCCGATGAAGCATCTCATGTCGAAGCAGATGATGCAGAGAACGACCAGGAGAATGGCAATGTCTCTGCAGTGGATCCAGCGTTCTTGGACGAAGGCTGTGCTGATTCTTTGAGCATGGTCGGTTCTGCCAAGCTTTCAGTCGATGCTGCCGATGGAAGCGGTGATGAGGAGCACAACGGCCAGAATGAAGACATCGATGCTGAGCAGCCCGTCTCAGATGCAGACCATGCTCTTGTTGGTGCTGGCGAAGCTGTCATTATGTCGGAGGAACTGGAAGAGGATCTTCAACCTTCCAGTCCATTGGGAGATTTGCCTGGTTTCTCCAAGGATGGCATTTTGGAGGAAGCTGGTGACTTTGCGCACGATGTTTTTTCTCTTGCATCCGCCTTTGAGGTTGATGATGGCAAGTTGTTGGCAGCGGCCTCTAGTGAATCCCCAGAGGCCAATGAAGCATTTGATGAGATTGCAGAGCAGCATGAGCAGCTTGAATCAGTCAAGGAGCCTGCGTTGCAGCCTGTGGATTTGCCCAGCCCCTCGAGTCCAAAAGCTTCGGTTGTCTCCGATGAAGCATCTCATGTTGAAGCAGATGATGCAGAGAACGGCCAGGAGAATGGAATTGTCTCTGCAGTGGATCCAGCGTTCTTGGACGAAGGCCGTGCTGATTCTTTGAGCATGGACGGTTCTGCCAAGCTTTCAGTCGATGCTGCCGATGGAAGCGGTGGTGAGGAGCACAACGGCCAGAATGAAGACATCGATGCTGAGCAGCCCGTCTCAGATGCAGACCATGCTCTTGTTGGTGCTGGCGAAGCTGTCATTATGTCGGAGGAACTGGAAGAGGATCTTCAACCTTCCAGTCCATTGGGAGATTTGCCTGGTTTCTCCAAGGATGGCATTTTGGAGGAAGCTGGTGACTTTGCGCACGATGGTTCTCTTGCATCAGCCTTTGAGGTTGATGATGGCAAGTTGTTGGCAGCGGCCTCTAGTGAATCCCCAGAGGCCAATGAAGCATTTGATGAGATTGCAGAGCAGCATGAGCAGCTTGAATCAGTTAAGGAGCCTGCGTTGCAGCCTGTGGATTTGCCCAGCCCCTCGAGTCCAAAAGCTTCGGTTGTCTCCGATGAAGCATCTCATGTTGAAGCAGATGATGCAGAGAACGGCCAGGAGAATGGCAATGTCTCTGCAGTGGATCCAGCGTTCTTGGACGAAGGCTGCGCTGATTCTTTGAGCATGGACGGTTCTGCCAAGCTTTCAGTCGATGCTGCAGATGGAAGCGGTGATGAGGAGCGCAAAGACCGGAAGGTTGAGGATTTCGAATCTGCTGATGAGCCAATTTCAGTTTCAGATTCTTTTGAATCGGCCGACTGTGTTCAAGCTGAGCCAACCGAAGTAGAGGAAGTCGCCATGTCATGCACGATGGAAGAGGACTGCCGTGGTGCACCCACTGTGTTTGTGATGTTTGTGTTTTTTTCATGGATTTTGATCGGCTATTGAGCATTATCATTATTTCGCATTTTTTCGCCAAGACATGCCAAAACCATCCGAAATTGTTCCATTGCCGTTTTTTTTGGACAAGGACTGTAGACATAACAGAGGTTTGGTCATGGATGAGGTACCCAGGGGCCTCAACTGTTCACAATGCATTGCCGTTACGGCCATCTCTTTGGGCTCGTGATGAATCTGAAGATGGCTATGTTTAATGATTTTTAATGATGGGTATATTTAGCTATTCAGATAGCTATTCAGAGATTGGTGTATAGCAATCCTAGAACTAGAATGGGGATACATGATCGTTACCTGGGGATACCACATATCATGAAAACTGGTTGCCATGATGAATGGGTATACGATGGATGTATGAGCTGTCCCATTCTGCCCTTCAGAACTTGCAACACTGGTGTAGGATGGATACACTGCAGATGCCAAGGACAGCTGCTGTGAGTTTAAAGCGGTCAAGGTTGATGGAGTTGATGATGAGCATACGGTAATAGTGAAATATAGTTATAGTCATAGTGAATACACTTACCATATATTGCCATGGATTGCGGATTGCTTACTATTTCGGGAAATTCTTTCCTTTCCTGAACTTATTTGAAGGCCACGACAATGACCATTTCGAAGATCCCAATGGTCGATTGATGATTTGCTGGCTATTTTCATAGAGAAAATGTATATGAAAATGTGGTGTCAAACCATGTGAAGATGGAATTGCGGGCACATGATTTTCAGACAAACTCATCTCTTTTTGGCCGCAACGCTCTCTCGCCGCCCAACAATTCTGCCCATCCGCAGTGAGATTTTGTTGGTTCAAGCGCTTGAACAAGTGATGGCGTCCATCAACGAGGAGGAGAATGGCGGAATTCTCATGAAAAATGTGGCTGACCTGCGGACTTTGGGCTGCCTGGCATGTGATATGAGATTAAATAGAAAATTCTTAGTGTGATGTTTTCTTTTGGTGTTGCAGTCCGTTCTTTTACCATGACCTTGATGGAAAGTCGAGGCATTTGCTCAGCCAAATGGCTGATCTTGATCCTGGTGTGGAATCTTCATCCCTACCTGGGTCTTTGCGGAAAGCTCTTCGCAGGTTTGGTCCAGTGTGTGTGGAGCTTCTATGTCATGACAATGGCGCCTTGACGGTCACACGTTTGAAAGAATGCTTCCATCATTTTCCATATCCTTTTGAATCTAATTACATCTAATTTCTGGCCTTAAGTAATTGGACTTGAGAAGCTCGTAAAAGTTGATACAAATTGGATTTCATCGCTTGAACGAATTGTCCCAACATGTCGCTTTCCATCATCTGAAAGCTGGGATGACACAATCTTTTTTCATGGCACTAAGGTGCACAATGCGCTACTTGGCCAGCGTTCCAAGTCGTTGCATGCATCAGCCCCTCCAATACATATACTCACATCAGGTCACATCACGGAACTTTCCGCAACTAGAGGTCAAAAGTATGGTAAAAAGTACCCATTTATAGTGGATTTTCCCATTGAAAAATGGTGATTTTCCATAGTTATGTAAACGTTTGCCAGAGGGTAACACATCAGATCACATCAGCCCAATTGTCGGTTCCGAGTGATTCATGCCAGTGATCCTAAGAAGGCTTCAAGATGGAATCAGAGCAATTGAACGAGTCCAAAAAGACATGACACATGGGGATAGCATGGGTATCAACTGCCATATCTTAAAGTCAGATTCAACCAACCCCAAGGTGACCCCCCCAATAGTAATGGCCTATATAATTATTATATATTATTATATGCTAAGCCGGCTAAGCCCCTTTAAAAGATGGATTCTGATGATTCTGTGACAGACCAGCCTTCCAACAGAAGCGCAGCACGTTGCTTCAGGATGCACTGCGATGTCTTCCGGCATGGATTCGTAGAGTCCGTTTGGAGAGTCATCCTCTCCGCAACTGCTGGCGTGCCAGTGGAATCTTATCGACCCACGCACAACCTGAATCATCACGTGCACCTGAAGCTGCGGTTTGGCGGTTTGGTGATGATAGCTTATGATAGCAGTCATGGCATGTCATGGCTGCCATCGTGGGTCATAGGCCTCTTTTCAATCTAAGCTGACAGAGGTTCGACGTGGTTTGACCAGTTTTGTTTTATCACACTCCAGATAGCACATACACACCCACAACTGAGTGGGACGACACCCATGTGTTTGCTACTCGTAGAAGTGCTGTTATCATTTGAATGGTCGTTCCACTGTGAAGCCTCTATGTGAACATGTTTCTGCTTCAATGAGCACGCGCAAGCATTAAATCTTCGAATCACTCTGCTCAGAGTCAGTGACACTCAGGTATACGCAACACGGGGACCACCTTGACACTATGCAGATGAAGTACAAGTGGCATTTGCTCAACCTTTTGCTATTCTTCCCAACAGCACCATGGCAGCATCCAACCTTCACAGCACTGGCTCCCTCAATGGGTTCCTTAATGGCTCCCGCAATGGTGCCACGCCGCAGGTTTTCCCTGCGATTCAGAAGTTGGAGTCTGAGTTCATCGCCAACGAGGCGAAGAAATGCTCCAAGACCTTCTTCCTTTTCATCTTCCAGGTGCCGTTGGGTGCCGTTGGCCGAGTGAAGTGCAAAAAAACGTGTATCTGTATCAGTCTGATATGATATAGCCATATATATAGCCCATCTATCCACCCATCCATCTCTGCATTTAGATTGTAGTGTCCCTGCGTGTATTTGATATCCCCTTTGCACCCTCACTGCGACATGAAGGTGATGGCAGCACATGGCGCTACAGGCATTTTGCTCTATCTTGACTGGCGCCGAGCAGTTCTTTGCTGGGTGATTCCATACATCTTCGGTGCAGATGCCATCGTAACCATGAGCCTTGACGAGCGATTTATCCAAAGCTCGCGGGGTTGGAACATGTTGGCACTAGTTTTGGTGAGGGAGTAGCCCTTGTCAAAGTCTGGCTGCATTTTGCAATAGGATATGATAGGATATGATAGGATTGCATTTTGCACAAGCAAACTTACCAATAAAATCCAACAAATGTAAGTAGTCAGATATGCATCACTGAGGAACATGCTGCAGCATGACGGGACGGAGGACATTGTTCTTGGAGAGCACAAAGGTCCCAAAATGAATGTGAATTCCGCTCGGAACTTCACGGGTCCAGTGATCAACTGGATCACATGCAACAATGGCTACCATGCCATTCATCACATGTACAGCAACATGCACTGGACCAAATATCCTGAGATGCACCAGAAGTTGATTGCACCACATAGCAACCCCGAATTGGACGAGCCGGACATTCTCAAATTCCTGTGGCGCACCTACTTTTGGCCGGGCAAACTTCCAGAGCATCGCCAGAGCAAAGAGAGCTGAGAACGAGAAGGGATTTCCGCGAAGTGCACCCAAATTCAAACGCGGATGGGTCAAACATGTTAAAGACCCCTGATTTTCCTTCATTCTCTAACATTTGAATGGTGAACATCCATTGGTTGCACCTTTCATGCATTGACTAACTTGATATTCACCAGGGTATCAGGCTTTTGACCCGTAGCCTTAAGGGCCCCATGTCCAGGGGCAACTTGGGCCGGAGACACACGTTGTGCACGGTGTTCATTTGACAGGCCTTAGGCATGTCAGTTTTCTGACCACACCAGGACCACTACAAGGGCTGGCGGATTCAATGCGTAGCAAATCTCACTGGTGAAGTTGATCATGAGTCGGCCATAATCGGCCTGACCGTCTCATATGCCTAGTGTGGCATCATGGGTTCTGGGTTCCACTGCGATATGTTAGGGGGAAATCACATGGACATGTTCTCGCCGTAGCCGAAGAGAGTGGCTGGGGTCAAATCAATCCAACCCTTTCGCCCCGCTGCTTATCCATGGCAGGGCTAGGGTGGAGCCCGTCTCACGCCGTGATCCGATTGTTGTTTCATGTCAAGGTGAAAAATATATTCTTTCAGCCGTCCAGTGCCAGCCATGGGGATTTTGGATGTTTCTTGATGGGTACATATTGGGATATTCCTGGAAATTGTTGGCATACACTGGTATATAATGGAGGATATAATAATATACTGTAATGTGAACATAAAGTCATGTGCCATTGAACTTGATGGCATTTGGACGGAGTTGTTTCAGAAACTTTCGTATCGTATCTCAGAGGAAATGACCTTAACAAAACTCACCATCACCCATCCGCAGGGGATGGTTGAGATTTTCCCACCACTGTGAAAGCTATTTGCAGGATGTGGGAAGATCATTTCCGTCCCGAAATCTGCTGCGTGGCCTGCTTTTGATCCCTCTAGTGCCTTCGGTCGCATCCTTTTTTTTTCTCCTTCTGTCGGCAGTGTGCCAACACTCAGGACGCGAAGTAACTAAATGTAACTAATATTAGAATATATTAGATGGCAGGATAGAGCATGGGTTACATACAGGTTTTATACGGTTTTACCGTGTTTTACGCATATAGACAATCTTGGCAGGATGCTTTTTGTCCCAAGTTGTGGCAGGGTGGCTCGGGCATGTTGTGGCGCAAAATGGACAATCCTCCAAAATTTATTTCATCAAATATATATATATATAATCATATTTAATCTTCAAATTGATCTCAAAATGACCTTAAATTCGATAGGTTCCAGTGCTATCACATGGTACCACATGCCAGCTACCACTCGGTCAGGGCGCTTGGTATCAAAGTCCTCAGGTCATGAACCTCATCTTGCCCGAACTGGCGTGGCGCTTGGGGCCTGAGCCAGAGCATTTTGCCTGAAATCTGTCAGATGGGGAGATCTGATGGGATCGGGATCTGACCATTGATCTGAGAGATCGCGGAGATCAGCACAGGGATCTCGAAAATCTCGAAACATCTCGCAATTTCAATTTGGAATTCGATGAGCTGAGAAGTGCAGGCGCCCCACAAAAAAGGGCCAAGGGCCAATCCAAGTTCCATTGAAAGCTTCACCTGGTAGTTGTTGGATATTGGTGGCAATGACATGCAATTGACCATTTCACGATCGGACAGAATGTGCCACGGTCCCATCTTGGACGCTTGCTGCACGGATGCAAGTCTTAGTCTGGTGAGTGCCGCCAGTGTTTATGCGCCATCGCTGCCCGTGAGTGACTTGTGGAAGCCGGCACTGTTTCCATCCATCAGTCAATGGGAATTTCAGGATCCTAAAATGGAGGTACCTACCATTTGTAAGGCCTATATAAGGCCTATGTAAGTGAATATCACCACAAAATATGGCCTTAACTGGTACTAACGTACCTCCATTTTAGGACCCTGAAATTCCCATTGAATCAGGGTGTATCTCATCACAGTGATCTAGCAGCTCTAGCAGATTTATTCAAGGCCGAACTCCGGAAGTCCATCCTAGATTTGCTGAAGATGTTTTATTTTCCCATCGGTTCATCCACCGTTTGGGGAAGCGACGAGTAATCCTCTCTCCCTATTACTTCTTAAAAAAAACGCCCCAAATGGTAACCATGGTGATCTATTTTTATTATTAGGGGGTATTTTGTATTAGGCTGCCCCTAATATTTCAATGAAAACCTCAATAATAAAAATAAACAACTCGATTTCAAATTTGATTAAATCCCTTTTTAAAATCAAATATTGCCAAAAAACTGGATTTCGAAGCTTTCCCCTATTTGTCCAATGAACACCTTCATGATAAAGATAGAAAATAAAACTTGTGAGATGGGACCGTAATAAAAAACCTCCAGGTGTCTTCTGTGAGAACCAGCGCGCTATCTAGTAGGCTACTATTTGGGTTTGAAACAAATAAAAAAAACAAATAAAAATTACTTTACTTCGTGTGATCCCCACCATGACATTTATACATTTTCTTACTGGCAAATCTTCTGGCATTCTATCTGACATATCTTCTGACATTCTATTTGCATTCTATCTGGCATATCTTCTGGCATATGATCTGGCATATCTGGCATATCTCTGGCATTCTATCTGGCAAATCTTCTGGCATTCTATCTGGCATATCTTCTGGCATCTATCTGACATATCTTCTGGCATTCTATCTGGCATTCTATCTGGCATATCTTCTGGCATATATTCTGACATATCTTCTGGCATTCTATCTGACATATCTTCTGGCATATATTCTGACATATCTTCTGGCATATCTTCTGGCATATCTTCTGGCATATTTATCTGGCATATCTTCTGGCATATTTTCTGGCATTCTATCTGGCAAATCTTCTGGCATTCTATCTGGCATATCTTCTGGCATATTATCTGGCATATCTGGCATATCTGGCATATCTTCTGGCATATCATTCTTTCTGACATTCTTTCTAACTTTCTTCTGCACATTCTTTGTCCCATATCTTCCTACATGAGGTCCGGCAGGGAACACTTGGCGTGGATACTCGCGGTTGAGGTCCGGCAGGGAACACTGGGCGTGGATGGTCGTGGTTGAGGTCCGGCAGGGAACACTGGGCGGGGATGGTCGTGGTTGAGGTCCGGCAGGGAACACTGGGCGTGGATAGTCGTGGTTGAGGTCCGGCAGGGAACACTGGGCGTGGATGGTCGTGGTTGAGGTCCGGCAGAGAACACTGTGGATCGCGGGTCGCAGTTGAGCAAGGACGACGAGGACGACGAGGACGACGGAGGACGACGAGGACGACAAGGACGACAAGGAGGACGAGGAGGAGGAGGAGAGGAGGACGAGGCAGGAGGAGGAGGAGGCAACTGACATAAAATCTAACAACCCTCACCTGGCATGTGGGGAACAATGCAAAAAAAATAAAATAAAATAAACAATTTCAATAAAATGGCATAAAATAAAATAGCAGGTGAAGCACCAAATTGATAGTTGGAATCTGAATGGATCTGAGTTGTTTGTGGCTTATTTTTTTATTTTTTTATTTTTTTTAAAATAGTTTTCTTAATTTTTTCAACATTGTTCCCCACCTGCCAGGTGAGGGTTGTTAGATTTTATCTAAGTTGCCTGGTCCTCCTCCTCCTCCTCCTCTCGTTGTCCTCCTCGTCCTCCGGCTCAACTGCGACTCGCGATCCACAGTGTTCTCTGTCGGACCTCAACCACGAACATCCATGCTCAGTGTTCCCTGCCGGACCTCAACCACGACCATCCACGCCCAGTGTGCCCTGCCGGACCTCAACCACGACCATCCGCGCCCAGTGTTTCCTGCCGGACCTCAACCACGACCATCCACGCCCAGTGTTCCCTGCCGGACCTCAACCACGACCATCCACGCCCAGTGTTCCCTGCCGGACCTCAACCGCGAGTATCCACGCCAAGTGTTCCCTGCCGGACCTCATGTAGGAAGATAAAATGTCAGATAAAGTGCCAGAAGATTTGCCAGATAGAATGCCAGAAAATATGCCAGAAGATATGCCAGGTAGATATGCCAGAAGATATTTCAGAAGATATGCCAGATAGAATGCCAGATAGAATGCCAGAAGATATGTCAGAATATATGCCAGAAGATATGCCAGATAGAATGCCAGATAGAATGCCAGAAGATATGTCAGATAGAATGCCAGAAGATATGCCAGATAGAATGCCTGAAGATTTGCCAGATAGAATGCCAGAAGATATGCCAGAAGATATGCCAGAAGATATGCCAGATAGAATGCCAATTAGAATGTCAGAAGATATGTCAGATAGAATGCCAGAAGATGTGCCAGTAAGAACATGTATAAATGTCTTGGTGGGGATCACACGAAGTAAAGTAATTTTTATTCGTTTTTATTTTTATATTATAAAATAATATGTTTCTATATGTTCTCATTTTTCTTATTTTTGGATATATTTTCATTGTTTTTTATGCAGGCAGCTGTTCAGATAGTCACCTCCCAGATAGTGACCTCATCCTCATGTTTGAAGGTGGCAATGTATGTTTATTACCAGAGGGTTGAACACATTGTTTCACCATCCTGTTCTCCCGTTGATTCTCAATTACCACAATTAAGAATCCATTGTGCCCAACCAAAACCAAACTGGAAGTGCCACACCAATCCTATATTTTTTAATTTGAGGGAGTTTTAGCAATAGGAGAAGGGATTAAATGAATGCGGATGTTAATTTCTATGACCCCCAAATCAGATGAATCAGCAAATCTAAGTGACTTCCCAAGATTATTTGAAAGAAAGGCGCTGTTTGTCCTTAATGGCTTCTGCTACTACTTGCTGGCCACAGAGGTTGACGTGTTGTCAACCGGCAGAGCATGTGGAGACACAGGAGGAAGAGCCATGTTGACCCGGTGGGTTTGTGAGTCTGTCATGCCCAGGTTTATGTTGGTGGTTGCGTCATCATGTCATGAAAGTGCACAAGGTGGCCACCCCCAGTTCTAAGCTGGTTTATAACCCCCATTCACTATATGGACTATGCAGACTATGCACATGTATTGAGCATAACCCCCATTTTTTGATATTTTTTGAGTAGTTATAAAATGTTATAAACCAACTTAACTTATATATTATCTAGGGGGCCCCCCACCTTGTAAGATATTGGACTGGTGCAGGCGATAGATTGAATATATACATGAAATGATCATTGACCCAAACTTTATGAACCTACTGGGATGAACCTTGATTTTTTTGGGACCTTTACTCAGCCCTGGTGGTTGTGCTGAATTGTAAATGGCGATCATTGAGGCAAACATCAGAAATCATCAGGTCATTCGTGGCTGCAGCCTCCCGATGCGCGTTTTGCCGGGCCTCGTGGAGAACCATCGCGGACGTTCTCGGGGAAAAGTGACTGCAGCAGTGGCGCCGGCGGTGGGGTTTGGTGGTGGCTGGCTCTGATTGTTTTCTCGGGTACTTCTTGTCTGGGCCAACTCTTCGATGCTCTAATTCATCTCTGCGGCACCGATTCTCGAGAGAACTCTTCTTTGAGCCAATACTTCTGAGGCAACTCCCCTCTGTACTTTTGCTTGGAGCCAACCATTATCAACGAAACCCCTTGTCTTATACTTCTGAGCTGAGCGAACTCATGTCGGAGCAACTTCTTCTGTGAAGCAACTCTTCTTCGGGCTGCGTCCTCTCTGGCCTGAAATTTCCTGAAGCACTTCGCGGAACTGCTTCTCATCTTGGCCCTTTCATCCCAAAGGTATCTCTTCTGTGAGGCACCCCCTTTGTTAGCCATACTTGACTACACTTCCCTGCGCTACCTCTTCTTGGAGCTGCCTCTTCTCTCAGCCATTCACTCTCTCAGGCTCTGAGCCACATCTTCTCTCAGCCAAAGTCTTTTCTGAGCCCAGTCTTCCTTCTTTGGGGGGTTCTGAGCCAACTCTGGTGCGACCCTGGGCAATTCTTTCTTTCCGGCCTCATATTCCAAAAGTCGCCTCAGACGCTCACTTTTTTAACAACATGTTCTTACAAAATCGAGCTCTCCTTGCGGCAACGCGCACTTTTTTCGAGCAGCTTTTCCCAACTCAGGCCCGCAACCGCGAAACGCTGCGACCGCTCGAGCCACAAAACCTGCAAAAACACATTCTTCCGTGCATTTCTACGGTCGTGATTCCACTGACTATAGGGTTTCATTTGTGCTGTATGTCAACTTCCGAACTAGTGATGTTTTCCGTTTGGTGACTCAAGTACTAGAATGACTAGAAGTTGCTGTGGCTTCTTGGTATTTGATGGTATATGTTAACGATATCAGTTGTCCGTAACTTTATGGCGCCATTCACGGCGCCCAAATCAGTTGATCTTTGCTGCCTTGAGGTTTTGGCCACATTGGTCGGGCGCTGCATTTCACCTCGCGACAGCTGTCGCCATTGGAACATCATTGTGCCAGCCGCTTGGCCGCATAGCGGGCGGCAACGGTGCCTCAGAATTTGGGTCTGGAAATAGGGCTGGAAAAGATTGGAGGTCTGGGAAAGGCCCTGCGGATCCCGGTTATTCAGTAAAATAATTGATTCTTAATTGTAATATATTGTAATATTGTAATGAGGAATACGATGTTCACTGGATGACAAACAACCAATCTTGAATTTCAACATGTTTCGACTTTATTAAGATCGGTTGACGGATGTAAATCCGCCCACACCGCTTTGGCGGTGAAGGCGTGCTTATTGGGGGGCAAAACAGCAACACTAAATGCTCAATGACATTTGTTAATATAGCAGTCGCTATATCAGCTTTAGCTGGGGGGGGGCCAAAAACGGTTTCGCACCGAGACCAGAATACGGTGGTGTTTTCGACATTTTTCGAGGATTTTTGGGTGTCTGAGCGCAAGAGGGTATTGAAATGGAATTTTGGGTCATTTTGGTAGCTTTCCGGCAATGGAAAAACGGCCAAAAATGAAAAAAAACATTGTACATAGCAAGATTTTGCAGGGTTTTTGGATGCCAGAGCATTGAAAACACTGCAAAAACAAGTGTTTTGGACTGACGTTATAGCAAAAAACGTGTAAATTACCGTATGCTTGACTGGAAACATTACAAAAACACTGTCAAAAGCAATGTTTTGGAAGGATTTACTGCCTTTATGGCAAAAAACGTGTAAATTACCGTCTGTTTGACTGGAAACATTGGAAAAACACTGTCAAAAACAATGTTTTGGAAGGATTTCTTATATATATGTTGGAGTTGGCTACCGGCATTGGAACATGGAAAAATTGAAGAAAACACTGTAAATAGCGGTATTTTCAACGGTTGGGGAGATAAGGGAATTGGAAGCATTGTCGAACATGATGTTTTCGACCGGTTTTATGGCGACAAAAGTGTAAAGTACCGTGCTTTGAAGGAAACCATTGCAAAAACATGGAAACACATTCAAAGAACACGGGATTTGGGGGACTATCTAGGCGTCGTTGTCTAGCTATTTGAAATTCCGCAGCTTGGAGAGCCTCCAAGGGAGGGAAAAGTGAAAATTCCATAGCTTGGGAAGCTGTCACGGCGGGGAAAAGTGAAAATTCCCTAGCTTGGGAAGCCCCCACGGGGGGGAAAAGTGAAAATTCCCTAGCACGGGGGGGAAAAGTGAAAATTCCCTAGCTTGGGGAGCCCCCACGGGGGGGAAAAGTGAAAATTCCCTAGCTTGGGGAGCCCCCACGGGGGGGGAAAGTGAAAATTCCCTAGCTTGGGGAGCCCCCACGAGGGGGAAAAGTGAAAATTCCCTAGCTTGGGGAGCCCCCACGGAAGGGAAAAGTGAAAATTCCCTAGCTTGGGGAGCCCCCACGGGGGGGGGTGAGAAAGTGAAAATTCCCTAGCTTGGGGAGCCCCCACGGGGGAAAACCACCCTTAGCCCCTCTCACGGACCGAAATAAACATGCGGTGTGGGCGGCCACCCCACGCGAAGCGGGGTGAATATTTGATCTGGTATATAATTATAGGAGTTGATCTACAAGTCATTAAAGGATTAAAGAGATTGTTTATCACAAAGGTCACAAAGGCGGCCAGTGTTAGAACGTGAGACGCCACGAAAGTTTCGTCTGAGTTTGCGATATTTTTTTTTGGCGAAAGATATGGCTCAAGCATTGCAGGGGCTCAGACGGGAGTGCACGTATTACCCGCCAGTCTCCTTTCACAAGAAGGAGGAGCTCAGTATTCGGGGAAAAATGTGCTGAAATCGCAGAGCTCGAGACAAGCATTTTGCGGTGAGTGCAGTTCCCACACCTGTCTTACATATCTTACATATGTGAGGTGGTTTATCATATGTTTCTAGATGAAGTCAGAACCTTTTGAACTATGAACGGCCGGAACAGAATATGAATACCCGCTATTTTGTAATCAGGTGGAGCTGCACCCCCCAGCACCATACTGGGCGGATGATTTTCTGGTTCATTGGCCAAGAAATTCCGTGAGAGTTTCCACAGTTCAGCGAAAGCAGTGGCGAAAGAGAAGGTGCCCATGAAACCACATAGCATACACAGTACCTTTGAAACAATGAAAGTCTATGGTGTCCTGGTGGAATTATTCCAGCATCATACTCTTGCGTTTACCGTTGGCTGTTTTCGAGGTCATTTGCGCAGTAGCCGTTTACATGCAGTTTGACGGCGTCTCAGCAGAACAAAAGCCCGTATCCCCGCGAACAAAAACGCAGGAGCCGCGAGAGGCTCGCGAAAGTAAATTCTTGATCTGTGAAGAACGGCCGAACTCCGTGTGTGTATAAACAATAGGAAATACAAATGGACAAATATGTTATATATATACTGTATATATAATTTAATATAATATATAGATACACATATATTTACAATTATTTACATATATATATATACACATATGTATATATATATACATATGACTCAGCGGAGGGTACATTAATAATATTTAATTATTTTAATATATATATATAATATGTATATGTCTATATATATATATGTATATGTATTGGACTGTATGACTGTATGCGTGTATATTGTATGTGCGTATTTGCTCCCTTGTATAGGTGTTTTCTGGTTCCTCAATGTCTGGGACTTGGGTTGTTGGGCCAAGGCCAAACGCCTTCAGCCACTTTTACGTTGTACCTGAAGGCCCTGCGTGGTTGGCGCCAGTCACAGTAGCCGTGACCAGCTCGATTTGCTTTCTTACTAATGCCTGGGTTCGGTTGCAAGGTTGGCAGTTTGCAAAATGGTGATATTATGATATATTATTGTTATTTTTTGGCGCTTGTCAGTTTTGTGTTGGCTCAAGGGTTGACAGCACCGTGCATTGATCCATATGCCTGTCTTGAAGGAGGATGGACAGGATGGGCTGGACAAGGAATGGCTCTTGCGGGTTCTTGACAGCAGGTTTCGGGAACAAGAACATGCTATCCAGTTCCTGGGCTGAAACATTTGTTCGCACCTGATTTTTCTATTTTTTCAACCTATCAGACCGACCTATTTTCACTTTCCCAAAGCTATATTTACTTCCGGTAATTCTTTACCAGTAGTACCACACAAAGCGGTGGCGGAAGTTTCAAAGATAGACAACTATAGCAACTATAGGAGAGGTGAGTTGTTGTGATGCATGGATGGCAGCGCGAACCCACTGATGGACCGAAAGGTGGTTGGAGTTGTGCTTTTTGGAGTGGTTGCAGTGGTCAACTCATCCACAACTGCTGAAGTAGTTGAAGTTGTAGTTGTAATCTAGTTGTTATTGATGTAGTTGTAGTTGTAGTGTAGTTGAAGTTGAGGCTGTAGTGGTAGCTGTAGTTGTAATGGAGCTGTAGAGTAGTTGTAGTGTTAGTTGCAGTTGTAGTTGTAGCGCAATTGAAGTTGAAGTTGTAGTCGTAGCTGTAGTTGTAGTTGTACTTGTAGTGTAGTAGTATTATTATTATATAGTAGTAGTAGTTGTTGTTGTTGCTGCAGCCGCAGTTGCAGTTGTAGTGTTTTGTTCTAGTGTCGTGTCGTGCGGTTGAACGTTTAAAAGTGGTCCGAACATTGTGTTGGGTGCATTTTTATTGGGCATGTGCTTGGCGCATCTTGGCGCCACAAAGGTGTGCACTTTTTCCATATCTTAACCTCAAAAAGTGCTCTGAGACTGCCAGTTTTTTAAACTTTTGACATCGAAATGTGCTTCGTGCCACAACGGCGCGCACTTTTTAAACATCTCAACTTCCAAAAGTGCTCCGAGCATGGTCTGTTTTGTACATTTTGACTTTGACTTCGACATTTGCTTCGCGCCACAACGGCGTGCACTTTTCCAACATCTCAACTTCCAAAAGTGCTCCGAACCTGCAGTGTTTTCAGCTTCGTGCCACAGTGGCGTACAATTTTTCATCTCTCATCTTCCCAGATGGCTCCGCACCCGCCGCTTTAGCGAGCCAACTTTTTGACCTTCCGGAGCCAGAAAACGCGGAAAAACATATATAGTGTTTACTGCTTCGGAACTTTTCTACCTTTTCGCGCGCCTGCATCCTCTTTCTTCTGACTCTTTCTCTTCTCTGATCTTCTTCTTCTCTTCTCTTCACCTCTGCTTTTCCATCTTGCTTTTCCATCTGTCCATATTGTCGGAAGTTTGACTTCTAAATTTCCTTCGGTCAAAACCCGATGCCCATGCCAAAAAGTTTAAGCCCGAGAAAACCAGAGGCAAATGTTGGACCGCTCCCTTCTTCAGCTGGAGCTGAGCGATGACATTGGCGTCACAACCTCCGAAAAGTTCGCGGTTCAAACCTCCTGTCACTCTGCTGCGGATGGCAACTTTGTGAAGGAACCCAACTTAATTCCCTTCACCATGGCCCCGGAGACGCAAGCCGCCACACCAACCATAGCGGCGGACTTGGAGGCTGCAAAAATCCAGGAGAAGATCGGCTCCAAATCGGTTTCGAGGAAGGGCCTAGATTTGGGATCCAGCAAGCGACTGAAGTCCTTTGTCCACGGGCCCTTGGATGTTGCTATGGCTGTGTTGGTTTGCATCCACCTCTTCTTCATGGTGGCGTTGATCGAGTTGGAGGAAGGTGACTCCAGGTTCTCCTTGGGATTGTCATCCGAGCCAAGCGACGCGAGCAACTGGTCGGAGTTTTTCCAAATTTCTGAGTACGTCTTCTTCTGCATCTACTTGTTTGATGTCGTGATTCGCATCTATGCCCTCCGGTGGGGATGGTGCATTGATCCTTTCGGAGGGCTAATGTTCATGAATATCTTCGATGCCTTGTTGGTGGTTCTGGGTGCCTTCGACCTCTTTTTGCTTCCCTTGATGTTTGGCATGCAGCAGGATAGCCACACCCGAAGCATGCGGGTGGTGAAGCTGTTGAGGATGGTCCGCACCCTAAGGATCGTGAAAACCGTTGCGGCGTTCCGCCAGGTGCGCGTTCTCATTGCATCATGCATGGCCAGTGTGGGTGCCTTGGGGTGGTCTATGGTGCTTCTGTTTGTCATGCAGCTCTCATTTGCCCTGGTCATTTGTCAATCTTTGCAAGGATTCATCCAGGATGACAAAGCTGACTATGATGCCCGCCTACAGCTCTATGGCTTGTATGGAAGCTTCTTCCGAGCCTTGTACACGATGTATGAAATCACCTATAGCGGGGGGTGGCCTGCAGTTGTGAGACCAGTCATTGAGAAGGTCAGCCCTTGGTATGCAGTTCCTTTCCTGCTTTACGTTGCTTTGGTGGTGTTCGCCGTGATCAGAATTGTAACTGCGTTGTTCCTCAAGGCGCGGCTTTGGAATACTCAAAGTTTGCAAATGTTTCAAGTCCTGCAGAATGGGTTTGGCGTGCAACCCCCTTCGTGCCTGAAATTAGCAAGCCTGCCCAATGGTTTTTTTCCTGTCGTTCTTCTCTTCTTCCCCTCTTTCTCCTCCGCTGTCGGGCAGACATGTAAGATTGTGTCAGCACATCTCTCAAAGTAGAACTGTGCCAGCACATATCCCTTCAAACATGATGTCATTGCATATTGCAGTATCATTGTGTCCGTAGGGACCCCCAATTTACGTTTGTCAACTTTTGCCCATGTATATTTCAGCTAGCATGTGAAATTGTGTGAGGATTCGATCTATGTTAAATTTTCGTAAGTATTTACACGAGGTAAAACAAAGTGTTTTTTTTTCCTTTTTGTTTTTTTTTGATTTCTGGTTACCAGCTTCGCTTCTTTTCCGCTTTACCCCTGCTTCTTTGCTTCTTTGATTTGTTTCTCCGCTTTTCTGCTTTTCCGTGTTTTTGTTGCTTCTTTACTTTTCTGCGTTTTAATGCTTTTCTGCTTCTTTGCTTTTCTGTTTTTCTGCTGATTCTTTGCCTCTCTGCTGTTCCGCTTTTCTGCTGTTCCAGCTCCTCTGCGTCTCTGCTTCTTTGCTTCTCTGCCTTCTGCTTTTCCCCGCTTTTTTGCTTACCTGTTGTTCTGCTTCTGTGCTTAGTGTTTCTCAAATTGTAGATAAACCCAAAGAATGTTCTTTTCTGCTTCTCCTGGTTTGTTTTCTCATTTTGTAGATAAAGATTAAGAAACATTATATTATATAAATAAACGTTAAATCAGCCCTTACAGGTGTAAGCCGTCATACTGTATGACGCCTCCTAGGCTGCGATCACGGCCCAGGTGATGTTCCCAATCAACCATAGATAAAGTTCAAACCAACCAGCAAAATACTAAAGCAACTCCAAGTTTCCCTTCCCCCGCCCCTTAATTAATGCTCAAATCCACCCAAATAGTCAAAAACATGTTAAAGCATGTTAAATCTAGGTAAAGAAAAAATATTTGTAATTATAGTGCAAGTGCGACATTTGTTATACTGGAGATGTCCGCGCACACCCGGACCTGGAATCTGAAAGCAGCACTTGGACCAAAACCATGCAAAGTTAATCAACAGTATCGACATACGAACGTAAATCAACATGTGCTCCCCGAAGAGAATCCTAATAATACTAATAAGGATCAAATTCCTTCACTAAGAAGTCAATTGTCCAATCATGTCCAATCTGTAGCGTCGCCCCAATACAAACATCAATTAAAATGCGCTGGGCGAAGAAGTTCCCTGATAAGCGCCTTTCTTTGAAATTATATTCAGCCAAGGTCAAGCACAATTTGCTGCCTGAAGAGACACCCTAATCAGGACTAAAGTATCTACTAGAAACTTTACATATATGATTCACATTCATTTTGTATCAACCGAATCCAAGCCTCAAACACATGGCATCTTTTATTGTTGAGGTCCAGGCCAGCATTTCAATCCAGTTCGCCATTTGAGGTCAATAGTAGAATGGTAGTAAATTTTATATTTGAAATAATCAGGGGAAAAAATGAAAATTGTGAAAACAACTGCTGGCAAATGGTTTCTCGTAATTTCAGGAAACTTCCCAAGAGCATGAAGGGGTGAAAGGGAATTACCCATTAAGTCAAACTCAAATTTGGATGATCTATGGCCCATGATCTAGATCCTGAGACCCCAATTCGATTGCAAAAGTTATATATTTGTATTGAAGGAATTGGGCTGCCGGGTTTCGTTTTCTGCCAGTGGTTGTTTTTTGCGAAGTAAACGTGAGGACATTTGCATTTTAGTTGCATGTGGCAATGAATGCGCCACAGGCAAATATATATATATATCATCAAACAATTTGATTAGAACCATTGAACATGCGCACTGCGCTCTACCGAACATGACACGGCACTGCGCTCTACCGAACATGTGCGTTTGTGCCTCCCAGGAGACGCTTGAAACCACCGCCCATGATGCTGAAATTGCCATTGAAAACCACCTGCATGCCGGGAGCAGATTCAGTGACAAACTCAAGACTCTGTTCCGGGCATTTGATTCAGATGGTGACGGCGTGCTTACGCCACAGGAGTGGGAATCAGCTTTGACAGTCCCCTATATCCAGCATTACCTGCATGTTTTAGATGTACGTATCGCGGACTGCCGCCGCATCTTTGGCATTTTGGACGATGGCGATGGCAAAATCACGATTTCTGAGTTTTGCGATGGGCTAAAGCGTGTCCAAGGCCAAGCTCGGGCTGTTGATATGGTGGTTTTGCAGAATGCCACCGAAAAAGTGATGAGGGAGTGCAAGGCGATCCGTCAGGCACTTGATGCTCGCCAGTTGCGCTTTCAAAGAAAAACTCCCCCAACAGTCAGCCCTGTTCCAAATGTGCGCAGCTCACTTTAAAAGTGTAACTGCTCCCCTTGCACTAGTGCCATGTGGCAGTTTCACATGCAGTTGCTCAAGGCAGTTGCACTTTGCTGGTGTGTTGCCAAAAAGCGAGTTCGCCACACTCCAAGGGTGTTTCGCCATACCGGTGGGCAGCTGTGCCAGCCATGCAATCTGCTGTCAGGCGGGGCATCATTGCAACGCCCAAGGTTTGCAGGGCAGCTGGGAATGCTTTGATGGTTTTCAGGGCACAATGCGAGCTCCTACCTGGGCCTGGAATCCCGGCACCGGCAGCATCAGGATTGTTCTCCTTTGTTGCTGATGACTGATGATTATAAAGGTCGCAAAGTAGATGAAATGTGTTTTTGCGACTTTTCGATTTCTTTTTTTTGCCAGCCTGTTGAGAATTTATCCTTCGTGTCCTTCAAGGTTGGCAGTTGCATCACCTTTGAGTTTCTGGAGGAGACTGACCCTGATGGACAGGACTCGAATTTGGATGGGCTACCAGGGCTTTCGCAAGGTTGCTGGAATCATGATGTGCTGAGGCTCTAGCTCTAAGTTCTGTTTTTGGTGGTGTAGGGCCGAGAATTCCAGGACTTTCCAAGCCCACCAGAAATCACAATTACTCATCGGTCCATGCTTGAGGCAACCAATGTTTCATGATCATCATCATCGTCGTCGTCGTCATCATCATCACCATCACCATCATCATCATCCTCACCGTCATCATCGTCATTGTCATCGGCAACCTCATCATCATCATCATCATCATCATCATCACCATCACCATCACCGTCATCATCAACATCATCACCATCACCATCATCATCGTCAACGTCATCGGCATCGGCATCCTCCGCATCAGCATCATCATCATCATCATCACCAACATCATCATCATCATCATCATCATCACCATCACCATCACCATCACCATCACCATCACCATCATCACCACCATCATCATCATCATCATCATCATTATCAGCATGAACATCACATTATCCCCATCATCATCACCATCATCATCGTCATCGTCATCATCATCATCATTATCACCATCACCATCACCATCATCATCGTCATTATCAACATCTTTTTTATCACAATCATTAGCATCATCATCACTATGATCATCATGATCATCATCATCATCGTCATTATCATCACTATCATCATCATCATCATCATCATCATCTTCATCTTCATCATCTTCATCATCTTCATCATCTTCATCCCCATCATCAACATCATCATCATTGTCATCATCATTGTCATCATCATTGTCATCATCAGTGTCATCATCACCTCATCAATGATGCGGCCGCCTAACTCCCTTTATTTATCAGTGGTTTTGGTGATCTGATGGGTGTAAACATGATCATCATCGACTGGTGGCAGCCGCATCAGGAGCGCACGACATTGTCTGGCAGCTGCCGCATGTCTTTCGCAGAAGGCACCGGGCAAGCGATGAGTCTCACCTTCCGTGCGGAGCCAGAAGCCAGCAGGGACACCAAAAACACATTTGAAAGAAGGGGGTGGGATTTTTGTTCATGTAGTTGATGTCTGATATGCACATGACATAATTTTGGACACTATATAGACAACCATTTTAGCATCATGCAACCTTTGCAGCTTTTGCCCAGAGCGAACGTGCTCGGCTGGCTGTTGGGGCAAACCCTCTGAGAAGCCCCGGCAAAAAATATGCACATGTGCACATGCATTTTCACAGGCAAAAAGGCATGCATGCATGCATGCATGCATGCATGCATACATACTTACATACATACATACATACATCCATCCACATATGCATGCATACATGAACACGCGCATACATGCATACATACATCCATACATCCACATATACATGCACACCTGCATACATGCAAACATGCAAATATGATACATACATCCATACATCCACATATACATGCACACCTGCACACCTGCATACATGCAAACATGCAAACATGCATACATACATACATACTTGCATAAATGCATGCATGCATACCCATACATCCATCCATCCATACATTTACACTGGCGCACATACATGCACAACGACGTACGTACATAGTTGCATGGACATAGATACAGACGTACAAACATTCAGATTTGCAGACATGCATGCATATATACGTAATTGTTACACGTATTCATTATTTGCATTTGTAAACTTAAATGGCTGCAGCCTTCGCAGTTACACATGCATTTCAAAGTGCACACGTGTATGTGTTTGCATTGTGTAGCTACATACATGCCTGCATGTTTCAAAATCGGTGTTCATACGCACGCACGCATATATATATAGATATAGATATACAGGTACACCTTGATAAAAAATATATACATTACTTGCTGCCTCTACATGATGTGCGCCTGTGATATCAACGTGTTTAATTACATTTACATATATATATATATAGAGAGAGAGAGTGTTTTGTTTATACCAGAGAAGTGTGTATAATCTCTCTCTGTCTCTCATCATCATTGGCATAACGCGGAGATCAGACCCAAAAATGACGGACTTCATTACGCGGAGGGTCAAGAATATATGATATCACGGCCTTGTTCTTGAACATATTCTCGTGAGTGATATGGACCAGTGATGCAGCCAACCTGTTTGCACCCAGCATGTCTTGGCTGTAACGCTCCGCTCCTCCTGAGGCCAAAGTAAGGACGGCTGAGAGTGGTGGCCAAGTCGTGCATTTTTTGAACCACATTTAGTAGATATTAGTAGCAAATTGGGGGATCTAATGTTATCCCGGTAGAATACCAGGCTATCCAAGATCAGCCCCGGGAGGTGTTGGATTATCGTGGGCTGGGTCCCATCCCATGTTCCCAGGAGGGCCACATGGAACTCTTCGTGGGTTCTTTGGGGCAAGGCAGCGTGAGAAAAAATTGGGTTATCTTTGTTTCAAATGCGTGATATAGACATACATGGCTGTTCCTGAGAATGTGATCTAATGACTGTAGCCCTTAAACAAAACTCTACATGTTTGTTCTATTTCTTGTGTGTTTGCAGCGTTTTAAGCATTATTGCCGGTTTGACGTCAGTTTCCTGGGTGAAATCTGAAGGTATGTCAGGGACAAGGGTGACCAATTAATCGCACAGTTTTTATTGCCAGGTAAAACTGTGGTCATGGTCATGGTAAAACAAAGTGGGCATACATCAATTTTTCTCTTCGCACATTCTGTTAAACGATAATTCGTATCATGGTAGGCCATCAAATGATAAGCCGCATGACACGGCCTGTATGACGAGTGCCTTGGGCAGGAAGCCTTGGATGATCTACTGTAATTAATTACTGATACGATAGGCATGACATGATACCAGTTTGCCATAAATTCTCGTCTTTAAGGAGCATAATTTGCCGGGGAAAGAGCAAGATTCGCTGGCGTAATTCGCCGGATAAGGGGCGTACAGTAATTGAGCACAAACCCACTCGATACGGATACGGGCCAATAACCATGTGCACACACAGCCCACCCACATAGCGGACATAGCGAAATTGTGTAACCCTTGTGCTGGATTCTGAACTTGGGGACGCTGTGACCATGTTTCCCCCCTTTGCCCGTCTTTTGTTTCATGGGTTTCCTTGTCTTAAGCAGCTCTGCCCCTTTCCAAACCATATCGACAACTGCTCATCCCATGAGTAGGTGCGAGCGGGCACCAACAACTGTCGCAAAAGAAAGCAATTTGGAACAAAGCTACCTGGATGATCCTGGATGTGATTTAGGGATATTTTGGGATGATTTCCAACGACGCGTTTTATTATTAAAAAAATATCGGTGACGTGTGTTTTCTTTATAATTTTATATGTTGTTTGCTTTAGGGTTTGAAAACCGTTGGCTAAGGGCCCAAAAATTAGTTTATCACAGGTGGATGTTGCAGGTATTTACATATAATTATGCTATAATAATATTTACGCACATATATATATATATTATATATATACAGTATATATTATTATATATATAATATAGTTTTCCCCAAACAGTGTGGCCACACTGAGGGGTTCTTACGGTAACCCTTTAAGGTCCGGTGTTCAATCGAGGTGGTATCCGGGGCGATTGGCATTTTCCTTGCAAATTTCCGCACAAAATGCCTCTTGTGACATGTCCATGTGCATTTCGACTGCGCAGGCTCGCGCAAGATGCTTGCCGCGGGATTAGCGCCCAGCATTTGCCATGTAAATTTCCTCACAAAATGGCTCTTATGAAATGTTCATGTGTATTTCGACCTTGCGCAGGACCGCACATCATCATCGTCGTCGTCGTCGTCGTCGTCCTCATCATCATCATCATCAGCAGCATCATCATCATCGTCGTCATCGTCATCGTCATCGTCATCATCATCATCATCATCATCATTATCATCGTCATCAACATCATTATCACCGTCATTGTCACCAATATCATTACTATCACCACCATCATCATCAGCACCATCATCATCATTATCAACATCATCATCTTCATCATCATCATCACCACCATCATCATCATCATTATCAGCATGAACATCACATTATCCCCATCATCATCACCATCATCATCATCATCATCATCCCCATCATCATCGCCATCATGATCACCACCACCACCACCACCATCATCATCATCATCAGCACCACCATCATCAACATCACCATCCTTCTCAACATTACCATTAACATCATCATCAACATTATAATACATTCTCCTTCTACTCCCCCCACACTTTTTGGTGTCTCTTGCCGGGATAATTTTTTTACTTATCCATTTTTTTCATGTGCACCGCAATATCCCAGGTGTCAACTACATTCCCTTACAGGGTTACATCACCAGGCCAGCCGTGCTTCTGGCAACGTGGACATGCAGAGCATCCAGCAACCCCGTGGGGGCCCGCGGCAGTCGACGCAATCGAACTACCATCCGGGTTGCACATTTTTCACTTTTCGGCATTGGTTTGCGGATTACTAAGGGGTGATTCAGCACAATTACCCTCAACCAAAAGTAACATAGACCCTGAAAATAAACAATTTTAGGCGGAAAGTAATCTTCCAACCCTCAATTTCCTCTATTTGGCAGGGTGTATGCTAATTTGGGTGATGCAACCTGAAAGGATTTTTTTTGGGCTATCTACCTATCACACTTGATAAAGGTTAGGTAATTAGGTGGTCTTGGAGTTTGCCGCACACAGCATGCTCCCCACAGTGATTTTGACGGTGCACCAAGGAATTTGCCCGCACAGCTACCACCACTGGTTCTAGTTCAGGCCTCAGGAACCTCAGTTTCCCTGAGAACAAGAGATAAAAGGAGAGATGAGACCCCAAAAATCAACAGATCCACCACGATTTTTCGATTTTTGGGTTTCGTGCATTACTATTGGGTGCCTCATGGACCCTGTAATTTTAAGCGGATCCAATATTCAAGTAGGTTTCTAACCGGGTGCTGGCATATTCCATGCTGCCAGCTTCAGTTGTCAGATTCGGATATTTCACTGTGGTATGTTCACATACCCAAAGTAGTATCCCATCGCATCGCACAGCCCGTATTTCATTGGATTGGTTTAAGGGAAAATTACAGGAACCCCCACTCAATTTGATGTAAACAACACACTTCATGGTTAAGATTTTCCCACCAATCCAATGAGTACGACTATTAGGTGTTTTTTTAATGGTTTTCCAATTTTAGCTAAGTTAGTTATTGAATGTAGTCATATTTAGGAAACTCAGGTTACCATCGTTTTTTTTTTCTATGGCTCAGGTGCTTACCATGGGCATGTTCTTCGGGAGTGGCCCCACAGCTTCGCCCACTGCCATCCCGCTGGGCTTACCATCACTGGAGGCTGAAAAAGGGGACTATTTGTTTTTTACTACCCACAAATTTGATCAAATTTGAATATAAATGAATATAACCCCCTTTAGCTATTAATAGATAGAAAAGATAAGAGAAGATAAGATAAGATAGGATAGGATAGGATAGGAAGATAGATAGATAGATACAAGCAGCTGCAGACATCGTGAGTGGAGTTCGCTGGTTTGTCCGACTAACATCTCTGAAAGTAAGCAATACCTTTCCAAGCAGGCTTAGAAAAGAAGACGGAGAGAGACGTACTGTGGTAGCCAGTTTGTTAAATATGTATTAAGCATTCCAGCATTGTAGTTGTGGAGCAAGAAATGCATAGCATGTGAAACATGGCTGCGGCTCCAATCGCCTGCAATTCGCGGTCAGGAAGCCTCCAGGTTTGCTCCTCAGACCATGAAGGCTCTTTTTGACCCAGGATTTTTGTTGGGTGGCTTCAAGGGTTTGTGATTAATGATTATCCAGTCACGCCTGCAATAAAGACAATGCCGAGGAACGTCTTGCAGAATGATGCGAGCTTCAGTTAAGAAAGGTCGGGATACCCAGGTGTTTATGATCTCTTTAAACTTTAAAGTTGAGCCTTCAAAAAATGAAGCAAATCTAAGTGTGTCTACCTGATATCAAGACCTTTTGATTTTTTCAATTTTAAGAAAGTCTCAGCCTTGAAGCTCTGTTTCCAAGCATGCCGCTGAATGGACAGTTCAAGGTCATTGTTTATCTGTAGAGGGTTTCACCCAAGAAACCCAGAAGTCAATTCCAAAAGCGCCCATGGGGCCCAGCGACCTTCCCAAGGCAAAGCTTTTCATTGGAATAAGTTGGATAGCGAAAAGCATCGCAACATCCAGCTGCTCTCCACAAAGGCCAAGTGATGCTTGGCCAAGTGAAATCAGGAAAACAACATCCAAGGTATACAGATAAAATAAAATAGAATTGGGTTGCCCCAGAACTATCCTGAATCATGTCACACGGTTTCATAACTGTCATAACATTCAAGTTGATTCTGCCAATTTGTGCTGCGGCACCTGCTGCGGGTGCAAGTTGATCTTCCCTATTTGAAGGCCCGGAATGGACCGAAATCAACGCCAAGATATTGGCATGCAAGCTACAGTAGCTCAGCTGGCATTTCACCTGGAGAATGATAGGATGTCCAATAGATGTGTGAAGATTGAAGAAACGAATTCGATGATGCAGGCTTGACATGGTTTGAGATGAATCAAGGATGCTCTAAGACGTGTATTCACTGTATCCCTTGCCAAAAGATAGTGGGATGTCCTGGCCTCAAGTTAGGTACCGTTGCCAGCATGTTCATGGTTCTTTCTTTTTATATGTCAGAAGGCAGAACTCCACATAGAGGAGTAAACTCCCACGCTTCACAACCGATATATTTAGGTACTGTATGTAAATTGATAAACCACTTGAAATGGTGCACCAAATCGGAAACACAGGGAAAATGCCATCATCAAAACGCAGCTGTACAAGGAAGCTGTACATAGCCGCTGGTTGATCGACTGAGCCGCTTGAGAATGGCTAAAGAGATTATAGGTTGTTGGGCTTTGGGAACTTATTGCAAGTAGAACAGACATGTTACAGGCAGAATCAATACTTGGAAGAATATCTTGTAGCACAATCAAGTTGCCACTGGAATCCCTCTATAACCAAAAACTTGTGGCGCTAGCATCAGTATCCCGATCATTATCCTTGTAGCCATCACTTGGTACAGGTTGCCCGGAGGCTAGAAAACGATGTTCTCAAGCAGGGTAAAGCCGGTGGTGAGTTGCTGAGAAGTATTGCAACAGTGCGCAGAGGTGCTGACAATTGCTGACATCCAATGGCTTTTGTGCACGTGTCCTTGAGTCATCAGTAGACTCAGCAGACGACAAGAAATGTTTGGGGTCGAGCACCCAACCAATAAATTCAATAAGTCACACCTTCTAGACACAAATTGACATGATCTGGAAAACATGAGCAGTCAGAACCTCTGCAGTGCCTCGCCTACCATTCTGAACCCTGTGGCCAAAAAGTACTGGGAGATGCCGGCAGTGGAGCTGGGATTTTGAGGAAGACCAGTGGTTGGTCAAAATTGAAGACCAAACAAACTCCAAGAGTTTCGTCATCGGTAGGGTTGAACCACCCAACTTTTGATATCCAAAAACTCACTTCCTCTGGGACTCTTTGCGCGCCATCCCCAGCACGAAAGATTTCTGGCTCTAGATGTGCGAATGAGCGGCGCCTGGGAGAAAAACAAAAACATCGAGACATCTCCAAGATGACGTCTGCCCGAAAAAAATGTCATCATTTTATGATACGCCCCAAAAGATAGAACCCGCATGAAAAGTAAACCACCATCAAACTAGTCACTAGTCAACTAGTAGGGATGTATTTGTTTATTGTGGTGAGCCTTGGTGAGCACCTCAAGTCCATCCCTGGTGGTAAGCGTTAACCTGACATTTGTCGCCATGGATCCATGGAGAACTCTTCCATCACGGTGACCCTGAAACGCCTCAGTGGCAAGGTGGTGCGCAGCGATTGGCAGTGCCAAAATGGCCGGGAATTGCTACGAGAGCTTGAACGGCTCGACACTTTGATGATTGGAAGGCAGAAATTTGAGCAACTGCGAGAACTGGGGGGTGCCCAGGGATTTAAGCATCCACAAGAATTCGTTTTTGGTGGTTGAAAGTTGAAAGCTGGCTTTTGAGCCGTGACGAAAGTCGAAGTTTCTTTATGACGGATGATGTCTTCCGTGAAGGTTTGAACCCAAAACATCCTAGCGTCATTTTTGAGGCTGCGCTCGATCTTTGAGAGGGCAGAAAAGGGCATGGTACCAGCTTCTGGGGTTCCCCATTCTGGACCCATCCTTTTCCATTGGCAGCAAGGATCACACGGCAGCACGTGCCAGCTGGCTCTACAAAGGTTTCCCTCTGGAGGAGGACGAGATTCTTCCAGCCCAACTGGAGCTACAAGAGGCCTTTGATCGCGAAGTGGAAAGGGGTGTGGAACCAACAGCCAATGGGGGTTTCACCCAGTTTTCCCACTCAACTATATAAGCCACACCTATATACACTTATAGGTTTATAAACCGAGCTTGAAGCATCAAGTCCTATTTTTCCTGGTGTGAACCATGGTTTGCAGATGCGTCCAGTGGATTTACCTTATCCAGAAGCACCAAACAGAGAAACGGATGCCTTAGCATCGGAGGTGCTTCCATGGAGGAACTGGAAGAGCTGGGATGTTGATGAAAATCACATTCAGCGGCTGGATGCTAGGCTCAACTATGAAAATCCTAGTTGGATGCTTCAGTATATTGACGGATTGATGAACCAGGGGTTGGTTAAATTGTGGCCTCCATTTCAGCAACAAATGATTCCTTTCTATTCCTTTTTGGGGTTGACCACTCCAATCACTCCATCAGAGTGCTCAGGTTGAGTCCTCATAATCCTGTCCACTAGATGAATGGGGTAACCCAGCGAAAAACCTCAGATTGCGGATGGTGTATATCAGAGAAATTCTGGTAAAATTGGTGACTACCAGGATTTGACCACCAGGTGGCTACCAGGGTCTTGCAGTTCCGCCATGCGCAGCCGAACCGAGGATGGACTCGCTCAGGATCCCTCCGTGAGAACGCAGCACTTGCGCGTGAACAAGTACAATCCTCCAGACATCAGCATTCTATGCTGTAAGCAGATTGCACTTGGCGGGATTGCAGTCATGGTATTTCATGATGACATGAGGTTTGTGCTGGTTTGAACAATAGCCGGAAGCAGCAGACCTCGACGTACTTACAATGTTCAAGCATGTTCAAGCTCTTCTTGACTTTTCGACTTGCTAATTTGTGTCTGAAAATAGGGCCCCAAGCCATGGCAAGTTTGCTAGGGAAAACGGATGACAATTGATCATAAACCAGTGGATTTAGGGGTGCCCATGGGTGCCCTATTCTCAGAGAAAGCCCATATGGGACACCAAGGTGAAGAAGATGACTCACCAACTTGGCTCTATGCTTGCACTTACGAGTTGGCGCTGTGTTTGACCTCCTTTGCATGGACACAATCCGGGGGGATCTGAGGGATGGCGCCAGTTTTTTTGGAGGATTATGTCAACTATAGTCAACATATCCCAATAGTGAGTGGTAGACTGCAGCCCACATTGGACAAAGCACGCATATGACACAGAGAGAGAGAGAGAGCTCTCTCTATATATATATTATTATTATTATTACTATTATTATTACCATTATTACTACTATTATTATATATATACACACATTGAATAATTTGCTCATCAATAAATCAAATAATTCTTCATGAAGACATGTGAATCAAAGACAAATACATGTAATATACGTAGATAGATGAGTGACATGAATCATATATATATATTTATATATATATGTGTGTATATATATGTATATATATATGTATATATATATACACGCAATGTAATGGTGAATCATATGTTATTGAGAAACAATCCATATTAAATTACACATATACTCACAATCATCAAGAATCAATCAGTTTTTATTCCTTCCTGTGTGTTTCATCATTTTTCCAGGAGACGTTTGGTCTTGGAACTCATGGCCTTCAACGACCTCCAGTGCCGCGGCAGCCGCTTGTGCCGCGTGACGCAGCTCCAGCAGATGCGCCGGGAGCTGCGGAAGCTGTCGGAGCTGCGGGAAAACGCGGGGATCCACGGCGAGGGTGTCCTGGAACCCGTTTTTTCCGGGGAAACCTCTCGGAAATCCTGAGGGAAACCATGGAAAACATGGGTTTTTCCATGAATGCATGAACATTATGAAAAAAAAACGGGAAAATGCAGACATTGGGGGGCTTGAGCAATAGAGAATTGGAAGTTTATGAGTTATTTGATGCTATTTGGCTGTTTGCAACTCACGGAAAGGGTGGCAGTGGACATAGGTGGAAGTCATTTCAAGCCCGTGCGTTGCACAGCTTGCAATGTCGAAAGTTTCTCCGACAATTCTTGGGGTTCCATCTTAATTTTTCAGGGCATGCTGAATTGTCATAGCCATCATATGCCACCATCACAGACCTGGGAAGATCGCAGAATCGATGTTCGCCTGCAAGCATGCGGTGCTTCGACGAACTTTCTTAACAACAAGAGTAGGGGCTGCTTGCATTTGAAACAACAAATTAGATGGGAATCGTTTATGTTCAACAGGAGATAACCTTTACAAATCGGGGCAGCCGTTCCACTGAAACATGGCTTTTCCAGGAGCCGTACACTTGCAAGATTGCGAACTTTGATTTGAACACAGAGCAAAATTGTGGGAATATGAATTTCATATGAATTTTCTTGTAACTGACATCATGTTCAGCGATTGGCCATGTGCTGCAGGGCGTCCACATACCTATGAATATCTAGAGGGAGCGTGCTCAGTCCCATCCCAAGTTGATGGAAGAGAAAGTTTGCCGTGATGGATCTGATATAATCTGGTTGGTGGTTTGGAACATTTTTTATTTTCCATATATTGGGAATAATAATCCCAACTGACTTTCATATTTTTCAGAGGGTCTGAAACCATCAACCACATTTGTGTTACCATGTTCGTTCTTTTTTGCATCCCCAAATGAGAAAAACAAAACCGTTTTGAATGGGGTGAAATCCGCAGCAAGATCAATCATGGGGTGATATTCCCAATCTTTTGCAGTTCATATCCACAGATACACCCGGATTTTATCCAATTTGTGTTTTTTAGAGATGGGGTGATTTACCCCATATCCATCCATATCCCTTCATCCTGCCTTCCAGTTCAACACGATTTCAGGTGATGATTGCCTGCAAGCGACCTGGCCCTTTGGAGAGGCATCACGGATCGAGATGCAGGAGGCTTTGTCAAAGAAACTGATGAAAAACCAAGCCAAGAGAGCGGCTGAAAGCGAAGGCGGCACTTGTGTTCTGTTGGAACGGAATGGAACGGTAAGAAGCCAGTCACCAGTCAGTTTGGGGACACTTCCATCCCAGTCAGCTGAAGGATGTTGGGTTTGGCTTACAGTGGTCTACGAAATATACCTCTCTGTCACACTAGTTTAGTTCAGGCAGTTTCTTCCAGAGTGATCTGCCGCTGGATTTCTACTTCTGTATGGTTATCATGGTGTTGCAGAATCCCAGCGCATCTCAATTAGTTGGTCACCAACGGCCAGTTTTCACATCCCAAATTGGCCTCACCCTAAACAAGATTGGCCTTTTGAGCCACCTATACTAAGATCTACCGGATCTACCGGCCCGGCTTATATAATTATTCGGTTTCTATTCGAGAAGGCTTCTCGTCGTCAAACCTGTCAGTTGACGCAGAAGTGCAGCAGAGGCTAAGAACAGACTCGGCAGTGTCTTGGCGTTTGGCAACCACCAGGTGTGCAGAAGATGGGCGACGTTTCGTAAAACGTACATGGATGGTAGAGATCTCCAAAAGGGCCAAGCTGATCATATCACAATTATCATATTTTGATGCTTTTGTTTACAGCTTCTGGCCAGAAACGCCCGCTTTTCTTTGGGCACGTTTGGCAGTGTCGGAACGATGTGTTGTCCAGACTGAGAGACATGGCAAGCAGGTATAGGATATATATAGTAGCTTACCATGCTTTCAATATACGTAGTTCTCCACTGTACTTGCTTTGGGGTCGTGAGTGAGACAAAACACAAACTTCTTGGCCTGCCATGGTTCCTGAATTGGTGACTGTTAGTCACTGGGGTAGGTCAGGGTGATTTAAAGTGTCGATTGTTGGATGAAATCCTCTCACCTTCATTCTATGCCATAACAGATTCTATTTGTGGAAAGACCTGTCCTATACGGGCCTATATTTTACATTCATTAATGTCTATTCAGGCAGAGTGTTTTGACCAACTTGGCGCACCTTCAACGCCAAGATGGTCCAAACGTAGATGTGGGTAGAAATAAAGAAAGAAAGAAAGAAAGAAAGAGAGAGAAAGAGAGAAAAAGAAAGAAAAAACTAAAACGGTAGATATACAAATCTATATAATTTAGACTTCTGAGATAGCTTAGGCAGATTTGATAAACCAGATTGCTTAAATAGACTAGGCCTGTCCGGAGTGCGCAGTCCAAACAATCAACTAGGTAGATAGATTGGACCGGATTGAATAAAGATTAAAGTAGATTGGATTAGATTGTTTCAGATGCTGTCCAGTAACAAAGTGGATATGGAAAATCCAGCTACAGTGTAGTGATGTGTAGTGATGTGTAGTGTACAATGTGGTACCCCCCAGTTATAAGTTAGTTTATAACCCCCATCAACTAGTTCGATATATCTACCATAAGTCCCACTTATTGTAGTTATGTGCACCAACTTAGCTATCGAACTGGGGCACCACTATGTAATCCATTAATCATCCATTAATCATCCATTATTAACATTACTAACCCATTAATCATAGATGATGGTCCGAACGGAAAGGATCATGGATTTCCATGACATCCCATTGCGCGTCCTGGGGCCATGGGGCCCAGGACTTGCTTTGCAACTTGGCGGTGGTGCTGTTGTTGCAACCTTGGCCCACATCCCTTGACCTTCAACGAGCCTATGCCTTTCTGAAGCGACTCAGCTGGTCAAGTCATATGGAAATCCAATGAAATCCATGGTCATCATGTTCTTGCTGTTTTTGTGCTGTTTTGAACGTCCACCCCCACTTGTAAGGCCCGATCCAAACATCATCAAACATCTAGGACCTTTCTTGGGGTGCTAGAATTTGCTACAACGGCCCTTTTACATTGCCACCATAGGCAGAGCTTGGAAATGGATGCCACTATGGATTCCCAACACTTTCTTCAACGGGCTCTTCGCCTACTTCGTTTCCATGAGTTGGAGCCGGATGACACGCCGGACACCGGGGCGGATGGGGAGACCGGGGAGACGGAGCAGTCTCGACTCAGTGTTGGGTCCAACGTCACGCATGCCACTCAGGTGGCGGCACGGCTGCAACGAGAGAATACCATGTTTCCAGACACGGAGGTTGAAGAACGCAGGTGCCGACAGCTACAACGGATTTGGCTGGGAACACCCAGTGGCCGCTGGTTGTGAAGCTTGAATGGCAATTGGCGGGTTTTTGTGCATCCTAGGGTATTGGGTTTTTGGGCGGGGTGATGCAAATGGTTTTTCTACGGGCCAGCTTGAGCCTTGATGTAAGGTAAGCTGCGGCAGAAACCGCTGCTGATTCACATGTCCCCTTCAGCTGTACCAGAAGGTTGCCCAGAGTTGAATACCAAGTGTGTGGAAGCCATGCTTCACATTTCTGACATGTTACATGATGATATCCATCAAGTGGGTTCGGGTCTTGCTGCTGTCACTTGGTTGCTGCTCTACTTTGGCTTGCGCCGGAAGCACCCAGCTTTCCTGGCATTGAAGCAACTTAGATTTGCTGAAGGTGATTTTTCTTTTTCTCCATGGGTTGATCAATCCATGTTCACCTACAATGACTGGGAATCTACTGATAGTCCCTTCTCCCACTCATACGAAACACCCTGCTTGTAGTTCCCAAATATGTATAGATCAACCACATCCACCATGGTTTTCGGGGTGGTTAGTATGAACTGAGAAGGGATGAGATGCTTAATTGATGATCAATGGACGGCTAATGGATGATTAATGAATGGTTAGTTGCGGGGATGAATGCACATATTTGGGACCATACAATGCGGATGTTTTTTTTCCATATGAACGGGAGAATGGATGAAGATGTAAATTGTTGGATTCCATATTTTGTTGTAATAATTATTGTTATTATTAAGTTCTAATAATGATACGTACAAAGTTTTTAATACGTACAAGTAACTTTTATTATGTTCCCACCAATGGAAGCAATTTTGATCATCTTCCCCCTCTCAACCATGTTCTCCAGCCCTTTTTTTTGGCTCTTCCCAGGCAAGTCTTGGGCTCCAGTCCCATGCCCAACTGTCTGCAGCTGGTGCGAGACCTGGCGGATGAGAAGTTGGGTCCCGGTCCGCTGGGCCCCTGGAGGAACTTGCAGCTGATGGTGAAGATGGAGGAGTCCTTGCGCAAAGAGAAAGGTGGAGCAAGGAGAGCGGTCAAAGAAAAGATGGGATTCGTGATGGCTGGTTTTTTGGGGAACTTTGGGGAACTATGGATTGATATCTGAAAAATGTCATGATTCACATGATGCTTGTGATGGAGATCACTGTGGTCATAGTGCACATAGTGTGATTTGTTGTTTCTAGATGCTTCTAGATATCTTTTTAGTGGATTGGGTGGAAGTAGAAGTGCATTACAAATATAGTGTGGATGATAGTTCTCCATGGTTCCCTTTGTTGGCTCACAAGAATAGACGTGTCACATCTGCAGGAGGACTTTGATGGTACTTGCGCAGCTTGAAACCTTGATTCTGGATGCATTAGCATCCATCCGATGCAACGAACTCTTTCAAGGCTTTCATTATGGCCAGGAATTCGAAGGGCTGTGCTTCAGGCACTGGAAATGAAAGTTTGATATAGTTTGATGATGTTTGATGGGAGGGATTCTGGAGGGTTTTTTCTAGGTGGTGTCCAGATTGAGGATCGTCCATTGGCCACTTTTGACTGCTGCAGGCACCTTCCGAAAGCACAACTTTCCCATGAAGATCAGCTGGAAATCTTGGACCGTCGAGCCCGATTGCTGGAGATGTTGTTGGGAACACCCCCACGCGCCTACACCCAGCATCCCAAGACTGAGGGAACTGATGGAGGGCTCATGAACCGCGAGCTGACCCATGGCCTGTTTCGAGGCCGTGTTATGCGGCATCAGAACTCTTTCCTAGCAAAAGATAGCAGATATTCACATCCAATGAGATCCAAGAAGGACTAGCATGATGATGTCAAATGCACTTCCCGGATTGAGAGAAAATGGTTCGGAAAGACGCAACATGGATAGCAGTTGCATAGCTGCAAACAATTATCTTTGGATGGGCTCATCCGCTAATGTTGAAGGAGGATTTGGGCAACAGCCCGTTTAGCCCGGCTAACAGGTGACCAGGTCTTAGAATGCGGATCCCACGCAGCGCTCACCCTTGAACACATCATAACCATGTGTTTAACATTACTGTATTACTACACCGAAAAAGGGTGCAGTCATCATTGCCACTTGTTTTTCCATACCCAGAACTGGATCTCTTACAAGATGTGAGCCTCGACTGTTGCTGCCCAAGATGGGCGGGTTGCTTTTCAATGTCAGAATTCCGACATTGGAGCAGTCGAAAGCTGGCAAACAAAAACAGAGCCGGGGAAGTGCTCGGGAATGAGATGGAATGAGGTTGCCACTTCTTTTCGATTTTCCCCCAAGGTCTATTATATGATACAATATATAGGATATGTCACCCCCTTCACTGTACGGAAATAATCTGAAATTAGCAGGTGGAGCTTTGTTCCCACCAGGCTAGGCTTTCTGTACAGATTATGACTTCCAGCAACCCTTCTTATATTGCCATTGACATCAATGGGAACAGGCCACCCACGCCAGGAACACCATCAGCAAGTTGCACTTGGTGGACCTGGCCGGGTCCGAAAAAAGTGGCAGCGATGAACGGAAACAGGCGAAGGTGGGGCCCGGTGGGGCCCTGGGCGGTTGCGCCCTGCGACCTCGGAGGGTTGATGTTGAAGGGACCTTCCGCACCCTGAGAGAGTCTGGATGGACATGACGCCGCAGCCAGGAAAATGCCAACATCAACAAGTCCTTGAGCGCACCTTTGATTGCAGAGTCATTGAGCTAGTTCCCAGAAGGAGCATTGAAAATCCAGCAACCATTCCAAGAAAGCGTTGCCCAAAATTTGGAATGCCCATAGAGGTGAGATCATGGTTTTCTATGCTTGTTTTAACTTTTCAAATAGGTGAAGCTATGCTATCTGTGCCTACAAATCCTAGAGATCCCATGAGATCCCCCAATGCTTTGAGGATTTTTCCCATGGAAAAAACTGAGGCCCTTGGAAACGTGATCAATGCGCTGAGTTCAGCTGGCACTGCCAGGCCACTTCCATGCGCATAGGAATGCATAGGGTTCTGTTTTGATGAATATTTTTGAAAATACTTATAAAGAATTATGGTAGATAGTTACTAACTATAGTTTGTTTGAGAAAGATGCCGTTGTTTATGATTTTATGTATATAGATATACGATGATATGTGGTGATATCACAATATGTGGAAGCATGGCCCCTGGACGCCACCCGGAGGCGGAAGGCCTTCGTGCCCTACCGGGACTCGAAGCTTACCCGAGTCCTGCAGGCCATTTGGGGTTGACACGTATATGTGCAACAAATCCGGTATAATTAATACGGTATAATGATATAATGTAATATAATGGAACAGAGTCGAGTATAATATTTGTATGCATTATATAATACATTTTCAATGATATTATATATATATAGATGTAATGTTTCGTCCTGATTAGTGTAAGGCCCCCCCCCCTTCAACAACAGCTATACCCTCTTTAGAGTTGTGCGCAAAAAAGGCGGTTCCCCAGCAGAAAAAAATATCTACGCTTAATGTAAGGATTTCAATTGGCTACAATTGAAATCTAATTAAAACGTTTTTTTTGCCGATGAACTTGTAGTACTTGTAGTACTTGTAGTACTTGTAGTACTTGTAGTACCTACTTGTAGTACCTGTAGTACTTGTAGTACTTTTAGTACTTGTAGTACTTGTAGTACTCGTAGTACTTGTAGTACTTGTAGTGAGTGGGGTTCAGCATGTTGTTTGCGTTACCTTTTCCACCTTAAGTTAAGTGCCTTAAGTTTATTTCTTAATGAACCATGATACAAGAGAAAGAGAAAGAGAAAGAAAAGAGAAAGGGAACGAGAGAAAAAGAAAGAGAGAGAGAGAGAGGAAGAGGAAGAAGAGGAAGAGGAATAGGAAGAGAGAGAGGAAGGGGGAGAGGAAGAGAAAGAGAAAGGATAAGAGAAAGAGAAAGGAAAATAGAAAGGGAAAGAGAAGGAGAAAGAACGGATTGCTTTTGTAAAAGGCGGTTCTTTCTTCTCTTGGCTCCAGGATCAGCTCTGGGAAAAAATGCTGCAATTGTGAACCCTGAGAACAAACCTACTAAAGTGAATTGGACCCTCTCATGGCCCAGTGCCTTGGAAATTTGTGGAAAAACTATTCTTTAGTAAGGGCTTAATAAGCGGTCTGATTCTTTTGGGAAAGGTTTGGGCTTTGAACTTGGCAATTGCTTGTGTAAAAGGCGTTTCTTTCTTCTCTTGGCTCCAGGATCAGCTCTGGGAAAAAATGCTGCAACTGTGAACCCTGAGAACAAACCTACTAAAGTGAATTGGACCCTCTCATGGCCCAGTGCCTTGGAAATTTGTGGAAAAACTGTTCTTTAATAAGGGTTTAATAAGCGGTCTGATTCTTTTGGGAAAGGTTTGGGCTTTGAACTTGGCAATTGCTTGTGTAAAAGGCGTTTCTTTCTTCTCTTGGCTCCAGGATCAGCTCTGGAAAAGTTTGCTGCAATTGTGAGCCCTGAGAACAAACCTACTAAAGTGGATTGGACCCTCTCATGGCCCAGTGCCTTGGAAATTTGTGGAAAAACTATTCTTTAGTAAGGGTTTAATAAGCGGTCTGATTCTTTTGGGAAAGGTTTGGACTTTGAATTTGGCACTCGCTTGTGGAAAAGGCGTTTCTTTCTTCTCTTGGCTCCAGGATCAGCTCTGGAAAAAATTGCTGCAACTGTGAACCCTGAGAACAAACCTACTAAAGTGAATTGGACCCTCTCATGGCCCAGTGCCTTGGAAATGTGTGGAAAAACTGTTCTTTAATAATTAAGAAGGGTTTAATAAGCGGTATGATTCGTTTGGGACAGGGAGAAAGGCAAGATTTCTTCAGAAAACATGTTCATATTTTTTACACAAACATTTTTTTGGACAAAAAAAATCCCCCCCCCCAAGATTTCTGGCCACAATAGCGAACCTACCAAACAACGCATGGGTTCAGAATAATTTGGAGAAATTTGGCACAATAGCGAACCTAGCTACTAATCAGGATGCAACATTATTGTGTCTATTGATATATACCTATATGTATTTTTATACGTGTGTGTAATACTTAAATACAAGGATATATATCTATCGTATCTATGTATCGTGTTCAGAATATTGTTTATGATTTTGTCTCTTGATCATTAGTGGTTTGTTTATGTCTCTAACATGGGGATTGAGAACTAGACATGCGGATATCAATATAGGCTTCAATTCTTTAAGTTACTCTCTACTCATCAAACCTAGCTGGCTGGAAAATTCTGCGTGATATGACTTTCGTGTTCGAGGAGTTCAAGGTGAAGATTTGTCATTGCCATGTTTGATTCTTACCAACAGAGGGTACCAAAGCTGATCGTTCCATACAATGATGCAAAAGGCGAAATCCACTGGTTCACCATCATTTTCCCCATCAAAATTGAAAAATTGATTGATTTGAGGGATATAGGAAATACGGTATATATATATATCGGTATATATATATATATATATCGTCAGTATACTTTATTTTCAGACACACCTGCATGGTTTCCTTCCAGGGTATGCTAGTATGCCCCCTTTATTTCCCTTTTGGAACTTGTCGCGCCAGCGCGAAGGAAAGCTTCAGTGGAAACGCCTTCTGCACAATGATTGCGACTGTTAGTCGGGTCGCTTGGGAGCGCGTTGGCACGTTGCCTTTGCCCATCATTATTTGATATTATTTGCTTTCATCAGGGTTATGTATCTCACAGAATCGTTTGGTAATCTATATCTGCATCGTCCCAGGCCCAGCAGAAGTGAATTCAGAAGAGACCTTTTCTACCTTGCAGTACGCCAAACGGGCCGGGGTCGCCAAGGGACTGCAGGGGACACCAAAAGATCCATGGCTTCTGGGGTAGCTGGGGATTCTTTTGGATTCGATGTGGAACTGCTGTATTCAGATATAAGTGCAGAACATGTGTTGGTACATTTGTTACTACATCTATCATCACATCTATTAGTAAATCTGCTAGTACATCTCTCTTAGTTTGTCCCTCTCACAATATGAATCAATATGAATTACTACTTAAAATCAGATGTTCTGCTTGCACCTTGCCATTTCAAGAAACACCTCACTTGCAAGGCAAAGACCATCCGCGTGGCGGCCACGAGGAACCAAGAAAGTAAGCAGCGTGAAGAGCTTCAAAAAGAGGTGTCGTTTTGGGGAAGAATTCCCAGGGAACCTGATGGATCTCGGGAGATTTTTTCGGATTCCAAAGATGGGACATCGCATGTTTGATTCTCTAGATAAGCACACCGGAATAGATAGAAAACATGGAAATCACCATTGAGATGGCAGAGGGTGATTGCAATTCATGTTTCGATTTGTTAGTTCGTTTATTTTCGTGCTAGGCCTTGGGAGGGTGATACTTTTGATCCATATTCCTTCAACATGTAACAGCTGTGCTTTGCAAAATCTCAGGGGCTGTGGGATTGAAAATCACCCATTGGAATTGGGGCACTATATTGGGTGATGCAACCCATTATTTAAACATTGACATATATAAACTAACTTTTAATTAACCAACCCCCAATTCCTTTATCAAAATTGCCATTCATAGGGTTATTATCGGGTTATTGAAACCATGTTTGGAGATGGCAATAGAGAGAGTGAGGGAGAAGCCATTCGAAACGCTGAGAGGTGGAGGAGCTGAGGAAGCTTGTGCTGGAGGTGTGGCCAGGATTGGTGTTCACCCGAATAAATTAAGAGCGGTTCAAAAGAAAAGTGAGATGAGAAATCAAAAAAGGGGTGCTATATATATATATATAGGTAATGGCAACAAAGAAACACCTGGACCGTCTATATTATATTATGTATAAATATATATGCATACACATATATACATATATATACAGGATAGTTGCACTTTCACTTGCTTAAAAAACCAGGTTTTATGTGAATCCTGGTCACAGTATTACAATGTGACAGCGGCACAGGCCTCCTCCACTGAAGAGTTGGAAGCCAGACACAAGGCGGAGATTGAGGCCATGGGGTGGACCCTGGGGCTTGTGTTAAACTATTTAGAGTGTAATTAGCCGCAAAAAGACATAGAAACACACCGTGGTTTAAGTGGTTTATGAATCCGGGGGTGACATTTTCATGACCTTGCTGGTGGTCATTGTGAAAAGGAAATGCCCAAAGCTCGTGAAACTTCAGCGATCATTGCGGAAGCTCAGGCGCTGGAAGCCTTTATGAAAGATACTTGGGAGGAGCCCAGCTGA